GTTTCTGTTGTACGCTGGCTTGCTATCAGAGCAAGAGAAACGAGACTTGGCCTTTAGAAGTTATCTACAGAATGTCAGCAAATGCAACAAGTATGTGAAGTGCTGGAGCTCGTGTAATCACAACCAACTTTTCTTCGGCTCTTGGAAGAGTGTTCGTTATTGCGAGTAGACTTGTAAACTTTCTTGCTGTTGTTCTTCCTTCTGCAAGGAACATCTAAGAAGCGCATTTTAGGTAGTGCTAGAAACGACATGCGGTCAGGTACCAAACGCCAACCACCACGATCCCGATCCGTGACGTAATTTCTTCCAAGAATGCGTGCAGTGATTGGTATCGGGATTGTGTTTTCCACATGGGCATGCAATGAAGGCCCGCCCGGCAAGACTGCCTGCTTCACGATTTGGGATCCACTTTTGGACCGTCTTTTCGGGAAGGCAAACCCTCTCTTTGGTACCATAAACTATATCCCGATTGGTAAGCGGGCGGTTCCCCAGCACACAGAATCCAAATCACCAGCCAGTGCGCCTAGTAGCAGCTAGTGTTGGCTAGCTAGCTTGCAGCCATAGCATCATCAAAGAAGGAGTTTGAGTGCCCTTACTGCAATAAAAAATTCAAATCTGTGGGATATCAGCAATCTCACATGCAACAGAACAAGCGCTGCCACCAACTGATGCAGAAATTGGACCTTGCTTTCAATCCTATAGGTGCTAGACAGACAAGATCAAGGGCCAGAGCTGATCAGCTTGGTCTCACTGACACCGGTCGGCCCGCAAAAGCACCAAGAAAGGCAGCAAGAGGACAAGATTCCAGGGCAGCCATTCCACAAGGATTGCAGGACGAGGATGCCCATGCCAGGGCCTCACTCCAAGGTAGTGGTGGTTCCAAAGAAGACGCAGACCATCGGAAACCTGCAGCAAATCCTCGAATCGGCAACAAAAAGGGTGCCGATGGGGAAGGAAATGGGGAGCTAGATGAGGATGGTGATTTCCCTACCAACATTGATCGTTTCAACGCGGATTCGGATAGTGAGCCTACCAGTGAGGACAGTGAGCTCAGTTTGGAAGGGTCAGTTGCCACATTGCAAGGTGACAACGAAGAGGACTTGGATGATACCGGCCCCCCAGACGAAAGCAACATAAACGCATTCAGAGCCTACTGTGTCAAGGCAAAGAAATTACCCGTGCTAACCGATTCGGAGAAGCGAGGGGTCAAACTAATGGATATCCTCCGTAGGAAAAGGACACCTCTGGATACCTATGATGATGTACTTGCTTGGCATTTGGAGGAAACTGGGTCGCTAATGGACAACGAAAAGCTGGGAAAGAATACAATTCCAGATCTGCACGACCTGGAACCACCCTTCTGGGACGCACACGGACTCTCAAACTAGTACTGTTTATTCTATAGTAAAATTGCCGTTTTAATAGTCAATCAAGAGGAAAAGGACCACCATGGCGCCTTGTGGTCCGTTTCGTACGCGAACAATGGCAGCTAATACCCAGCAGACATCTGTAATGGGCTCCACCACCATGGCTAGTCGGGCACAGCAACTGAGGCCAAGTGAATCCATTGTGAAACCATCGAATCCGATCGAAACTACTCCCAAAAATACACGGTCAATGGTCCCCAAGAGCAATGTCTGCGCCGATGGTAATCATGTGCTGGATGGATTTCTCAGCATTCAACGAAGTCGCAAGACGATTCCACGACACAAAGCCAGCATCATCACCACTCCCCCAATTGTCAATCAAACGGAAGCTGTCAACCCATATTCCGTGCTCGCTCCAGCCGAAGATGATATCTGGCTTCGTCAATACCAGAATGATTGCTGCTATGACGATGACGACTCTGTCCTCACTATGGATACCACTGGGAGTGGATCGGTAGTCGGTAATCAGTCTAGCACTCCACCCCGGACCAATGCACGAGCGTCGTCCATTGTACGCTTCCCAAAAAACACCAAGCGAAAGATTAGAACCAAGACACTGGCTCCCGCTGATATCATTCCCTTGCCGATGCCACCAGTCCTTGCAAATCAGTCATCTGAGGTCGCATGGGAAGCCCACAAACCGCGAACAAAGAAACAACAAGGACGTCCTGGTGATGAGCTCACGAACTCTCGCTCGACAACAAAGAAATCATGCAGGAATCAAGTTCAATCTATGCACGGAAATACCAAAGGCGATTCATTGTCTACGAAACTGCGATGCAATCAGGAATGGCCTCCACTTTCGACAGCAGGAAACGTGCATGGCAGCGTCTCATCATCATGGCCGTCAACACAGCCTACTCCCACAGCGTGAAGAATTATGTACACTTATGCGACAATGAGTCTGTGACGAACAAGTGCGCTAGCTGTCTCGAGTATGAGGGATGGTACCCCAATGATTCGTTGAACTCCGACTGGGATGTCTTGCAGCAGATCGAGGACTCGTTCCGGGCTGCAGTCACTGTGCCCAAGATGGAGCACATCAAATCGCACCAGGACAAGCACAAGGCCATCGAAACACTACCCCTAAAAGCACAACTGAATTGCAGAGCTGACAAACTGGCAGGCAGTTACATGACCAGACACATCCAACAGGATCACTCCAAGGTACTCCGATTTCCGGCAAACCTGGCCCAGCTGCACCTTCCCAAAGGAACATGCACATACAAGCTCCCCAGAACACTGCGGCATCTCAGGAACGACCAGCCACTGTTCGACCACATTGTCAAACTGAATCCCGACTGGGACGAGGACACCCCTGCACTGGTTGATTGGACAGCCCATGGTCGAGCTGTCAACCGTCATGAGATCCACAAACCGACAATTGTGAAGTTTCTATTTCAATTGTTGCCAGTTGGGAAACGGGTCCACCGGGATGACCCCAAGTATGATCACCACTGTCCCCGTTGTGGCGGTGATCACGAGACTGAAACCCATGTTTATCGATGCCCACATGTTGACGTGGATTTGTGGCGAGGGACCATGCAACGAGCGATCAGCACAAGGTTGCGCAAGGATTCCACCGACCCCTTCCTCCTGGAAATTGCTCTGGATGGACTACAATACCACTTTGAAGATCGATTCCTCCACCCATGGCACTACCCTGACAGGTATAGGGACCTCGTTGACACTCAAAATCTCATTGGTTGGGACAACTTCCTGAGAGGACGTTTGTCCACGCACTGGGCTAAGCATCAAGATGCATATCTGCATCGGGTCGGCTCCCAGGAGACAACCAAGACAGGGCAGCTCTGGGTCACCAACCTAGCCTCACTGCTCATCCAGCAGTGGTGGAACCTGTGGGAGGATCGCAATGCTGCCAGGCATGGCAAAGACAGGGAAGACCAGTGGAAGAAGAAGCACGAACAGCTTCAGCGGGAGGTGGAACTCATTTACGAGAAAGCGGATCTGATCCCAGTGGAGCTGGTGGACTTTATCTTCAAGCGACCACTTGACGAGCAAATGGCAAAGGGCCCAGGCGACATCAAAGCGTGGCTTGCCAATTGGCTGCCCGTCGTCGACAAGGCACTCAGGGACGAGCATGCACGCACAATGCAGAACAATGACACAGGGTAACTCCGCACAGAAGGGGTCCTGCCGTAGAAACAGATGGCAATCCAGCCAAGGGTAGATAGTTAGCTGCAAAGCACCCTCCGGAGTTTTTAAACTTCTCCGGTGGGGGGCTTGCACTAGGCCGGTTCCTATGTGGGCGTCTTTGTACGTCTGAGGTACTCCGGTTCAATATGGCTCCGTTCAGCGGGTGGTCTATTGAGGTGCAGCCTAAATAATAAAACTTCGTTACTACTAGAAGACGCAAGCCAAAGCAACAATAGATAGTTAGAATAGGATTCAGATAATGGAACAAACAATGCAGCCAGAATACACCTCAAATTCGGCTCCAAGGAAGCAATCTAGGTCGTTAAACAGAGGGTGTTCAGCCCTGTCTGGATAGAGGACCAACATAGCTGCAGCGTCTTGTAGAAAAACCTCGTTCAGATCCATAAGAAACTTGAGGAAGAGTCGTACAGTGGGATGTTCGTTATTCTTGTCAGCGGCACACACGGCTTCATAAGCAGCCGATACCCATCGCCCAACAGGTGTCTTCACTAGAAGTTCTTTTTTTGGATACACCGTACTACGCTCCAGGAAATATGTACTGTTTTTTCCACCAAAGAAACCGGCCAATGCTCTGATAGCTTCCCATGGGTAGCTTCGTGCTGTAAGAGGTATCAAAAACACCAGCTGCCCATTGCCCCATTTGCCTTATCAGCTCAGCATCGGTCATTCCCATTTCTAGGTACTTTGCGCCGAGATTCCGGCCAAGGTGTAAAACCTTGCTGCAGTCCAAACCAAGTGCCTTCAACATGGCTTCTATCTCTTTAGCATAACTGGGACGATGGTTAGCAGCCGCATCAATGCCAATGTTGCATACCCTTAAACCTCAAAACGTACCTATCATTTCGCATCTGATTCTTGTGATTGCTTGGTGAACCGACATCAATGAGGAGCTTAATGTCGAACCATTCACTGTTGTTCAACCAGTCTTCCGCGGTATAGCTCTCCAGCTCACCTGTACAGAAAAATCGATGCTGCAAGTAGAAAGCAAGACTCCCGACTGCACAAGCTCGAACGTCTTTATGTCTCGTGGACCTCCCATGCTGTCTGCCACCCCTGGTTGCTGTTTTGCCAATAGGAATTTGGTGCACCATATGTACGTCGTTGGGTGCTTTTGGTAGATTGATGCCAAGAAAATCACTCAACTCGGCACGATGGAGACTTTCTGACCGGAGGACTCCAGAGGTCAAATAAGTTAGACAGAAGTGATGGCGAAGAGCTTTGTTTACTGACCTATATCCTCTTGCATGTTTGCTCTTGGTGAACAGATACTCTTCCATTTGATCATAGTGTTCCACAACACTGTAAGGAGAGAAATCTCCATTACCTTTCTCTTTGTAGTTTTCCTTGTCCTTCTTGGGCTTTCGTTCTATCACCCACTTGCGCAGTGGTTTCATGTCATCTTTGATCCATACGTAGTCCCATTGTACCTGCATCTGCTGTGGCAGAGCAATGTTCTTGGTGAGAGCGACTTGCACATCGTAGATCTTCTTGATGCTTGTTGGTACTGGTTGAAAGATTGAATGCCAATAGGATTTGTGGATTGGGCATGTTGGCATCTGCATCCTCTCTCTTCTTCTCGGACTGCTTCATCAGCTGGTCATAGTCTTCTGCATCAAAGTAGATTCGCTGATCAGCAGGAATGGCTCTCTTCTCTTTGGTCAAACCCTTTTGCTTTTGCTCCCTAAAGCTTTGGTACCACATGAAGTTGTAGATGCTATCAGACACTAGGATGTACTTGTAGGGATCATTCTCATCACAGACATGTTCACAATACTGAATGTACTCCATAGCTTTGGGGTTGTGCGCCTTGTGTGTGCCTGTGTCCTTGTCTGACTCGCGGATTTCCAAGACTTTCTTCCTTAGATTCCTGTTCAGATCATTCTTTGGTGGTCTGGGTCCTCTTGTCCTCCTGGTGGTACTAACAGGAGATGTGTTGACTCTACCAGGAGAGCCAATTCGATTGGCAATGAGGTGGCTAGTAAGCATTGTCGATGCTTTCAAGGAGAGAGAGTGGTTGCTTGTTGTTGTGTTGTGTTGTGTTGTGTTGTGTTGTGTTGCTTTGTGCTTTCAGTTGTGCTTGTTGAGTATGATATTGCTTGCACCGCGGCATTGCCGCTAGCTGTCTCCACGGTGAGCACTTTTAACCACGATAACTACTAGTAGTTGCTTAGTAGTTGCTTGCTTTTGGCCTAGAGTGGGCGCGAACCAGGGTACGATGATGTGGCATGCGACGTGCCCTATAAATCTCTTAGTCTGTTGACTGGGGGTTTATTGTTTAAAAATAATCACGCGGAGCACGCGATTATTGAGTTAAACCAAACGGAAGATTTGACCACCTGTCAAAACCGGACCACCCAAGTTTGACGCAATCAGGTATATCTGCTTGTTCCTGCTTGGGCACATCCCCATCAACAAATACACCACAATGGCTGTCAGAGATACCCTAGCAGTTTAACCAATAGAGCAACCCTATCTCGATAGGGAATACATAATTTGGATGTGCCCATTGCAGTCGTGATAGCCGCTTCCCCATTTGATGGCCGTGGAAGTAACGAATGACTAGCAAAGTGGAGAACTCAATTTTTCATTTTCTATTGCTGCCACCAGCCTCCATGCAACTTTATATTCCAATTCTGGTGGAACCGAGCCCTAACATTGCAGTCAAGTCTACACCTATCTGAAGTGGCTGTTTCAACACGATCGTCCAGGACTAAAGAGGAGCCAAGCCAGCCAGCCATTCTACGTTGACCGAAGATCGACGAACATGTGTCGTCGAACGGCCGTCGTTGAACGGCCGTCGTCGAACGGAATGAAAAAGAGTCATCACATGGAATGAAAAAAGTCAACCGGTGCCACTGTTGTTATTAACAGTAGCTGATACTAGTGGTACCATATGGTAGAGGTGTCAATGGTCGCTCTGTGGACCAATCGAATCGATCTGTCAAAGCAGGGCACAATCCGTCGAACGGAAGAAGTCTTCCTGCCTATCATTGTGGAGATTTCATCAACAGAAGTAGCCACTGTAGTAGTAAAGAGGAGATATCATTCATCTTGATAGGATAGAATAAAGGTACCGGAGTAGACTAAAAAGAAGGTAAACATCGGATAGTGATGAGGAGAGATATTAATTCAAGAACGGAGATCTCGACCGTTGGATGATGCCTTGTAGTTATGGTAGGGTTGAGCCTAGTATTGGCTCTTTAAGTCTTTTGCTTTTTACTTAAGCTTTTCTAAATGATCATTAGGGGTTAGGCTACACTGGCGGGACTCATCATCCGGATGGGCTCTTAACATCAAGATAATTATATCTTATAGCAAAGGGGTACCGGTTGGTTCGGTTCTGTTTCGCAAATTGAAGCCAGCCTGTATAAAACTTGAGAATTCTCAACCAAATCGCCGGAGTAGCAAGGGAGTATCGGGAAATGAGGCATTTGATGTCAAATTGACATTTTGATGTCAATATTGTCAATTGATAGTTACTGACACTTTTGACAAGACTCAAAACCGTCAATTTGTCAATGTTGATCAATTTGATCAATTGATGTCAACAAGAATCAATTTGTCAATGTTGACATCAAAATATCAAACTGATCAACATTGATTAATTTTGACTTTGATTGACTCTGATTGACTCAAAAAAATCCTCCATTGGATTTTGACAGTTTTCTTTGAATCAATTTTGACATTTCCTTGACAGCATGAGGTTGAGCAATCAAGGTTCCGGATGCTCCTGTATCCAGTAAGCAACGGAGTGTAACGGGTTTTGGTTTCCCTTTTTCTCGCTTGTTAAATCTACATAGACGATGGTTTGAGGTCTCTTGTTTTGCGACTTTACGAGGTGGTTGGCCACGGAGAGGTTAAGATGCTAAATAGATCATCAGAGTCTAGTTGAGCAGCTTCTAGGCAATCATCTAATTTCCGTAGTTCATCAGTTGCAAACAATCTTTTTTACTATTTATTGAGATATCTCATCACTTTGGTATGAGAAATCAGAACATGGTTCCGTTGAGTCATCATCCTGGCCTAATATCCTCAGATAGAGATTTCTCCATCCAAGTGATTGAAATTGATAGAGGAGTGTCCTCATTGTCAGATCTTCTGATTTGCGCTTGGAACATGGTTGCGAAGTTTGAAGTGGTTGCACGAGTATCGTCGATCTCGTTTTCTTCGTCATTGTCGACGAGAGGAAGAATGGGTTTGTCACGCAACTGTTCTCGAAGTTGCGGAACGCATGCTTTCCTTGAGCCTCTTCAGGTAAGGAATAGGTTGAGGGTAGCTGAAAGCTATTGTGTTTGTTAACAAAATGCACTACTAAAAGCTAGTGTAAAGATCTTTCGGGTGTTTTGAGTTTGAGAGAATGAAAGTTATGAGAGGATTAGAAAGCTATGAAAACTAATCAACGAGAGAGATCACAATCAAGGGATCGTAGATCTGAACTCCCGCGGAGACTGTAAAGTTGTGATAGAGTAGGTTTGTGTAGTAATCCTACTCGTTCCACGATCCAAAAACGGAACGCGTGAAGATTCGTCTAGCATTTATCTAGTAGCGTGGGAATCTTCCACGCCAGCTAAATATCTAGCGCGATGTTTCACATCGACCTAGTATGACTAGCGGTCATGAAAACCTGTCTCAATGACTATTCACAAAAGACTCAGTCATGAGTCGAACTCAAACCCTATCTAGGATCGAGTCGCGAATAGGCTAAAGCCGTGTATTGCATTCGCCCCCTGACAGGGGTCACAGAAGGCACGACATCAGTCGGACAAGGAGAACATATGATTTAAAGTGCGGGGCACTCTCATGAGATTGGATGTAGACATGTGCGTCGCACGATGGCAATCCTACAAGGGGATCAGGCCTTGTATGGGTGTATAAACCTTATGTTCCATGTCTGGTAGACTGTGCCGCCATTGGCGGTAGCATGTTGGAGCCTACAGTGCCATTGTCATTGACTCGGTCTAAGTGTAAGGACATTTGTACTTTGGCTGACCGTACTTGCGGTGCTGATACTGTTAAATCATCACGGTATCGTTGACATTGTATTAATGAGGGACACGCGTCGCGTTCTCCCTTCGTTGTTCTGTTGGATGATCGTTGCGACGTTCCTTGATGTACTTCCAGTTTGCTTCGAAACGGACGTTGTAATCGCGTCACGTTGAAACGAGCTGTCGGGCGTTGCGCAAGGTGGTATGAATCGTGGCGTTCATTGCGAAGCGAACCGCCGTGAGGACTCCATCCAGGATCCGTTCACGAGGTCGTCTTGGCACTTGATGTTTGAACAGCGATCAAGTTCGTGTGGTTTGATGAGCACGCTCACCATGGAGTTGGCTTGAGGTTTACGCTGTGATGAACTGCGACAAAGTCCATATTCATCCCGGAGTCTTCTCGACTCTGCGCGCGGAACTCACGTCCTCTATCCATGATAAACCTCAGCGGCCATGGATACCGAGTAAGCCACGTTTTGTTCTAGGACGATGGCTACTCTTTCTGCTGCCTTGGAGCAAATCTCTGCAATCTCGAACAATCCGGTTACGGGATCAACCATTGTCAAGCAATGAAGTGTACGGGAATTCTTTTTCTTAGGACCCCGACGTTGTAGGGACCTATCAGGTCAATACAAGTCTTTCCCAAGGGATCTCCTAGCAAGTCTTTGGAGGCATCAATCCCAGCTTACGCGTCTTGGGTTTGTTCATCTGGCAGCTTTGGCACGCTGACATACGGCCTGCACAGTCTTGCGCAGTCCTTTCCAGGTGTAGTGTTTGTGATGGTTAGTTCTGTCGAGTCTCGCCAGATGCATCAGCACACCATGGTCCATTCGACTAGTTTCTTCTGCATAGTCTTAGGTACGACGATCTTATCGTCCTTAACTACTAAGTCGTAAGACTTATCCCCTCTGGGGAAAGATTGCTTTTTGTAGTCATTTGGCTTGTCCCTGAGGAGTTTCTTGATTCGTTGTCGTCTCTTTCTGACGATGTTCGATCTCGGGAACGAGAGAGGGAACTCGCTAGGGAAGTCCTCTTCGTCTGCAGCATGAGCTCAGCGATTCCTGGCTTCCATTTGTTCTGAGAACCGTCGTTGTTGGAGATGTTAAGTCTCGACAACGACTCAGCGACGATGTTCTGTTCGCCCTTGATGTACCGTAGTTCAGGGCCGTATTCTTCCAGAATAAGGCGCATGCATTACGCGATCGGTATTGAAGTTCTTACATGTAAGATTCTTGTTTCCGTATGACAACGATTTCTGTCCCAGAAGAATGTTACGGAACTCTTTTAGAGTTTCTACGATACTGAGAAGTTCCTTCTCGGTAACGGTGTAACGTGTCTGAGAGGGTTGAGCTTCCTGCTGTAGACGCGATAGGTTTTCCCTTCTGGGAAATTACTGCACCTAGTTGAGTATCACTCGCATCCATGTGGAGAACGAATGTATCGTTGAAGTCAGGGTAAGGGAGCAAGGTTTCTTTGCTGATAATCTTCTTCATCTGGCTAAAGGCCTTGTCGTGTTCGGCTTCCATTTCCACTTCTTAGTTTTGGTAGTCAACGGAGCGAGTGGGGCCAGTACATGTGATCGTCTATTCCACATGTCTCGATAGTAGTTCACGTAGTCCAATGAATCTACGGAGTTTCTTTTCTTGTTGGTAGGAGGAGCGATATTCTGGATCGGTCTATTTTTCTTGGTTATAGGTTGGATCCTTCTCGAGTAATCAATGAACCTAAGTATTCAAGTTCTCCTCTTGCGAAGAAGGACCTCTGGTAGCATTGATCTAAGTCCCGGCTTCTCGAAGCCTTCGAGAACTTCATCCAACTTTTCAACGTGACTTGCTAGATCGCCGGTTATTAGGATGAGTTGAATCATCAATTATGCACGGACGTATTCTTAGGTCGTGCAATTAGTGTTCCCATCTTCTCTTGAATATGTCGGACTATTACATAAGCCCATGGCAACCTCTCGGTACTCGTACTTTCCCCCACGGGGGTAAGATGGTACAGAGTTGCTTCGATGTAGGTGACAGCTCGATGTGATAGTAATCCCATGTTCAGGTCTAGACTAGTAGAGGTACTTGAATCCATCTAGATTCAAGAGCAGTCTGTATTTTGGGATAGGATAAGGCTTCCGCTTAATCTTTTTGTTCAGTTCCGGAATCAGAGATGAATCTAACAGATCCATCTTTCTTGGGAATGATAAAGTTGGTGCCGCCCATCGGAACGGTTCACTTCTTGAGTCCCTGCCTCGCAGAGACGTTCAAACTCCATCTTAAGAGTGTTGGTTGGACACGTGGAATAGGATAACCCTGGCATGATAGTTTTTAGCATCAGGGAGAAGTTCTACTTCGTAGTCGTCCAACTGCCACTTTCCTAAAGTACCATCGAAAGAGGTCAGAGTACTTCTCATAAGGAATGAAGCTGTTCCTTCTCTTCCTGTTTAATTATCTTGACTTTGGCAACGTGCCTTAAGTCAGCTTTTCGTCATTTCGCATCAAGAATCTTCTTGAGACGTATCTTGCACTGTCATCAACAGCGTAGGATCAGAATGAAGAAGTTCTCTTCTTCATTGTGTCGCTGTCTTTCATAGAAATAGATGCGCCGTCCCACTCCATGACATGGTAGGAATCGATCTTGAATCCTAATCAGAGAATGTCTCGACCATGATCATGTTCATACCCCCAAGCTCTTGGTGACGTGTAAATCCCACTCGATAATTATTCGAGCCGAATTCAGGAATCATAATGTACCTTTGCACTTCGTGCTGGTTTGTAATTCTCCCTGCAGGGGTAGTCCACATCGTTTGGACGCCAAGATCCTTCATGCGTAATTCTTACATGAGGTTGAGCAATCAAGGTTCCGGATGCTCCTGTTATCCAGTAAGCAACGGAGTGTAACGGTTTTGGTTTCCCTTTTCTCGCTTGTAAATCTAACATAGACGATGGTTTGAGGTCTCTTGTTTTGCGACGTTTACGAGGTGGTTGGCCCACGGACGAGGTTAACGATGCTAAATAGATCACAGAGTCTAGTTGAGCAGTTCTAGGCAATCATCTAATTTGCCGTAGTGTTCATCAGTTGCAAACAATTCTTGTTTACTAGTTAGTGAGATATCTTCATCACTTTGGTATGAGAAATCGAACATGTTTCCGTTGAGTCATCATCCTGGCCTAATCCTCAGATAGAGATTTCTCCATCCAAGTGATTGAAATTGATAGAGGAGTTGTCCTCATTGTCAGAGTCTTCTGATTTGCGCTTGGCAACATGGTTGCGAAGTTTGCAAGTGGTTGCAGAGTATCGTCGATCTCGTTTTCTTCGTCATTGTCAACGAGAGGAAGAATGGGTTTGTCACGCAACGTTTTCTCGAAGTTCGGAACGCATGCTTTCCTTGAGCCATCCTTTCATGGTGAAGGAAGGTTGAGGGTTGCTGAAAGTATTGTGTTTGTTAACAAAATGCACTACGCTAAAAGCTAGTTGTAAGGATCCTTTCGGGTGTTTGAGTTGGAGATAATGTAAGTTATGAGAGACGATTAGAAAGCTATGAATACTATCTCAACGAGAGAGACATCAACAGGGATCGTTAGACTCTGAACTCGCGGTACTGTAAAGTGTGGTAGATTAGTTTCGGTAGTAATCCTATCTCGTTCCACGATCCCAAAAACGGATCCCCCGCGTAGGAAGATCGGTCTAGCATTTATCTAGTAACTGGATCTCTCCACGCCAGCTAATATCTAGCGCGATGTTTTAAACATCGACCTAGTATGACTAGAGCGGGTCATTGAGAAACCCTGCTCAGAAATGACTATTCACACGAGAGACTCAGTCATGAGTCGAACTCAAACCCTATCTAGGATCGAGTCGCGAATAAGGCTAAGAGCCGTGTATTGCAAGCTTCTTCCGTTCGACGGTCACTGGTAGGACAACATATCTCTGGTGCTGCTGCACAGCTAAGACTGCTGTGTCAGTCGATTGATCATTCGTGCAGAAATTCGGATGGGAAACCATAGTGTTGCCTTTTGGAGCAACAAGATGCCAAAGTTTTTCTAGTGCTCCTATTACTTTTCCAAGCGGGACCGAAACCAAGTGGAACCCCGCCACTGGATCTGTCACTACAAAAATACAGACCAAACCAACAAAAGCATAAACTATTACAACCTCTGTGTCAAGCTAATCAAGACAAGCACTATTGTGCTTGGAAGTAAGTCAATCAGAGCTATATTCAAAAAGTTACATCCCCACAAAGATCACTCCAAGCCAATGCGCGAATACAGTGATTGCCATTCCAGAGAATTCCAGTCATTCCACGTATACCCTGGTACTGTTTCTACAGAGGAGTCATTATCCAAAACGCCAATCACCCATCAACAAGACCACAAACACCAACAGGAAATTCGAAGTATCGAGTTGTCTTGTCTCGCCCATCGAGACGCTGTTTGCCACTACAAGAAATAGTCCCCGATCTACCACCTGTCCATAGGAATAGAATAGGAACTGCATCTGTCAGTCGCAACGAGCATCTTAGCAGGAATTCCAAGACAAACGATCGAATCGGAAGACAAGGAACTCATTCTGTTTGCTCAGAAGAAATCGAGCTGATAATCCTTTGCTCAGCCATAGCAAATTACTTTCTGCTCAGTCCATTCTCGACAACAAGAACAACGTCCTAGTCCGTTCCCACGATACTCCAGATGATCCGAGTCGTACCTCCGTACCTCTATCCAATCGATCGAACTGACTGATTCCGATAGAAGCACCTTTCGATTTCCCGATTGCCGAGCAAGAACTCAGTATCTACACTACTCACCACACACAGTGAATCAGTAGAAACTATCTTCCAGCTACGCAACAAGGATATTCGATCGAACGCCGGCCTCCGATTTGCGCGAACGAGATTTTGAAGCTCTCCCTCATTTGAAATCAACCACAACCGCGGGCAAGCAACAACTTCTCGCAACAACAAGCCAACAGCCAACGCGAAAAAGTACACAGCCAACGAGAATCAGTACACTCAGTACAGAAATCCAAGCCATCCCTCATTACGTACCATAGGATTTGGGCAGGCCCGCACGTCTCTACTACATTCTCGAATTCTCTACGGCAAATCCACTCGAATCAACCTATCTCCTCAACCAGACGGAGTTAGAAGGATCCAAAGATAGCCACAACAAGCTCTCAACCAGCTCTATCCAACAGAACTACTGAGCGCTAGCTAGCACTGACTGCAAGCCCTCCAGTCAACAGGAAGCTCAACGCGCAAGAACCCTTGCCTACAAGAAATTCCCTTGCCTACAAGATATCCCAACAGCAAGATGGCATCCAAACAGCAAGCATCCATGGATGACTACCTCTCTTCCTCCCAAGCCTCCGACCAGAAGTTCAGGAGCAAACAGAGAGAAAAGAACAAGAAGAAGGCAGCAACCAAGACCAACAAGAAGACACCCAACAGTGCAAAGGACAACAAACCACCCAAAATCCCCAATCAGGACATCAACTCCAAGCCCCCAGAAGATATCCCCATTGAAGAACAGAGTGTTGCATCCAGCCTCTCCCACAACCACTCCTACAGCTCCCACAACAGCAAAAAGAGTACCCAGAGCAACCCTAGAAACAACAGGCGCAACAAAGGCAAGAACAGCCCCAAGCGCACCACCAAGGCAACCAAGAAACCCAAGACAACCAAACAGGACAACCCCCTTCCCCCCAAGAACCACAAGCCATCCAGCCTCAAGGCGGCTCTCCCCAAACCAACACCTGGAACAACTCCACCAACTGGAACCACACCAACATCTGGAACCACACCAACACCCACACCACCAGGAGCCACCCAACAACCTCCAACCCCAAGCCCCCCCAACCACCCAACACCCACCCCAGACCCAACAGCACCAGCAAAAGCCCCCAACACCACAACACCATCAGCCACAGCATCAACCACACCATCAGCCACAGCAACAACCACACCAACAACCACGACGACAGAAGCAGTAACAGCCACAACAACACCAACACCAACACCAACACCAACTACCAACCTAAAACCACCCCCAACTGGAACCCCTAGAGCAACTTTCTCCCCACCACCCACCTCCACAGGACACATCCCTTCCAGGACTCCTGCAACTACACCATCACCATCCACCATTGCACACCCACCTACCTCCACCCCTACTCCCACCACCATCCCATCAACCACTACCCTACCTTCCCCCCCTAGACAAGCTGGAAGAAAAAGAGATAACCCTCTAACCCCAGAAGGACCCAGGTCTGCCTCCACACATCCACACATCCCAAACAGCAGGCCAAAACCAATGAGTCCACTCCCATGAACAACACCCCTGAAAGATCTTCAGCCTACAAGTCCTGGTCTGATATGATAGGAAGCAGTACCAAACTTGGCAACAAGATTGTTAAAGGACTCATCAAAGAGTTTGCCCCAACCCAAAACCCACTTCAAGACCCTGTTCCAGAAGACAATGACCTCCTACAACAGATGACCAACAAAGTTACTCCACAGAACAAACCAACCTTGGACAATGAGGAACCTGATGAACAGCCTCAAGATGAAGGAGGTGCAACCTTTGATGTCTCAGTAAATGGAATGGACCCAGAAGAACAGTTGGAGGAACCAGGGACCACAACAGAAGACCACCCCAATGAACTCACTGAAGAAGAGGAAGCAGCTGCCACATCTGCACTCCTGAACAATGGCACAAATGGCAAAGAAGCAGACCCCCAGGACAACCCTGAACAGTCCAACAAACCAGGAAACCCAGGATCCACCCCCTCACCAGCTCCTGAATCCTTCAAAGACCAAGACATACAGAAAATGTCCACCCTGTGCCTTGACCCCAAGACTGAAATCACTAGACTCTGGCACAGTCTCACTCGCGAGATCACCCTGAAGAAGATCCTACCTTTCAACACTCTGGATATCTCACAAGGAGCCAACCACCCCCAAGTGGCGGCGGTGTTTAGAATCTGGGCCAACTCACCCATTGTCCAGCAGAACCTGCACAAACCCTTATGGAAAACACAGAAGAATGGGGATACTTCATCCTAAAGGAGGGCATGGAGACCACCATCAAACGACACAGTGGTGACCCCTATGTCTACCCAGACCCAAGGTCCCAAGGAAAAGGGGTCAAACTTCTTCTCCGCCTGGCAATGACACCCCCTGAAGAGTTCCCATGTTTTGACTCCAGACTATCCAAGTTCACTGAAAACACATTCATGGTCAGACTCAAGCTTCTTGCACACAATACCATTGGACCAGCATACACCACCCTGAAGGACAAAGCACAATCCCCACCAGACGCGGACCCTGAACCATCCAAGAAATCTGGTTCAACCACAGCAAAACCAGCCAAAGCAACCGCATTCAAGATGAGAGGCATCTCCGGCAAACCCATCAGTCAATCCAACGCTTCAGCCACAGAAAAACCTGATCCAGCCAACCGCCCTACACCACCTGCAGGAGAGCCAACTCATAAGACCCTATTCAAGGTACACTTCCCCAACCATGCTCCACTGCCAGAGGACCGAAAGGTCCGCGGAAGCACCATTGGAGAACTCTCCCAACAACTTATGGTGGATTTCTTGAAGCAACTCTTCTCCATTGAACCTGAAGCCAAACTCATGCGATACCCCACTGCAAGCCCCCTTACCTTCCATTCTGCCTGGATCCACCTTCACTCCAACCCAGCTAAATTCCCTAGAGGAGCTGATCAGTTCAAGTCTATCTTCTACAATCACTTCTTTAGGACATCTGCAAAGATTCTCATCGCCCATAACATGCCAAGGGATGAACTTTTGGAACTTTTCCAACCCTTCTTCGGAGGATGGGATGAAACACAGGCGAACACTGGAATCACTTTCAAACTTGAACTTGCCCCAATCCAGTCCCCAAAAACTGCCTCAGTAGCCTGGCTTAAAGGAACAGGATACTGGACCCATGGAGTCAACCTAGGTGAAGCCATACGACAGGACCCTCTCTACAAGCTCAAGGAGTCCAAGGACAACCAGCAATACCCCATTGAACTGATCTACCAACGAATACAGACAGAGCAGAACAAACGGTGGGACCCAACTGGCACCAACCCCATGGCGGTACATGTACACTGTGCTGAAGAACACTATGACCAAGTGCTCTCCCTTCTCTCCAATATCTATGCCCCAGGACGCCGATCTGGATACCCCCAACACAAGAAACTCCAAGTGGTACCTGACCGCGGATCCCACAAGTACTTGGCCACCCAGGATGCAACACTGGACCAGGTCTTCACCTCCCTGGTAGACAAACAGTTTGTTATAGTTGACAACATCCAAGTCATCTACATCGAGAATGTTGTTGGGAACCCAGGACCCCTCTCACCACAGGACCCATCCACATTGTACCTAGCAGTGACATCTATGGTTGATAGCAACTCCAACAGGCCCAAACAGCCTGTTTTCATTGGCCTCGACCAGTCCACTAAGGATCCATCCATCTGGCTGCTACCTGTCGACAAGTATCGGTATGCTGAAGCCCTAGCCTTGTCTCAGAGGTTTGGACACGCCACGACAAAACACTGGGGACCAAGTGCCTGGAATTGGTTCACACCCTCCTTCAGACAGAAGCAGGAAGATGCCTTCAAGTACAACCCTGAGACAGAAGTGTTTGAAACCAGGGCTGACCGCCACCTGAAACGCCTGGCAAACACCAAACAGTTCAAACGAGAATTTGAGGTGGTGGACAATCTGGATTTTGTTACCGAGTGCCAAATTGCCAGCATCCATTTCAGGGTTCCCGGGGCATTCAGAGAACGCTCTGCTGCAGATGGAGTGGCCCTGGATCCATCAGAGGCATCCTCCATTGGCACCACTGCTGACGGGGACCGTCTAGACATATCCACCCTCAATTCAGGCTTCCAATCAGGTGACTACGCGGCCATGTGGTCTGAAGACGAAAGTGAAGAGTCAGAATCGATGACACTGGAAGACGAGGAAACCAATGAGGAAGATGAACCACCACAAGATGGACCATCTGTCTTTCTCATGGAAACTGATGCAGATAGGATACACACTGGGGACATGCAAGTCAACCTCAGCCCTGAGGTGGACGCCCTCGTGGAAACAAGATTCAAGATTATATGGGAACGGGTAATTCGACAGGATCAATGGACATTGTGGGAACGAGATGACAATCTCTTGTACTTGAAGGCCTTCCTCACCCACAAAGTTGGAGGACAGAATTTGGCCGGGGCCACTGCCATCCTGGACCATTTCGAGGCCCACAAGACGCCAGTGCAGACAATCCTTCACCTCACAAGCTGGGAATTGGCCAAGCTCATGTACGTGGAGGGAAGCCAAACCTGCTTCATCCCCATCAGTTCCTCCAAGTACTCCAATGACCTCTATTTCCAAGTCAAAACCCAGATCAATCAATCATGGCTGGGACAACACCCATGCAATCCCAGTCCTGCCACTTTCCCTGGATTCCTACAGCTCTTACCTCTGATGTCCCACTCACAAGAGAGTTGTCCAACAAAGGCTGGTGGACAGAACCAAATAGTTGATGGGGAAAGGATTCATGCCCAATACAGTGAAAAGCATGAATCCACGGGTACAGCAGGAGGCCACTGTCCAGATAGAGCCTCCCATGGGACCCACCCACCTTCCACCCCCCACCACACACCACATCACCAACACAGCACACACCACACACCACCCCTACAACAACAGAAAGACCTTGACCCCTTTGACATATTCCTCCAATCCTACACCAGACACCTGCATCAGTCCAACAACACCAAAACAACCCAAACTGCTCCACAACCTGGCCCCCCACCTTACACCCACCACACCACCCATACCACCACCGATGACTCCACAGCCAGCAGTGACGAATCCTTCCATTCCTTTGATGTCCCACTTCTGAGTGAAAGATCCACTGACTCAGATGCCACCTCTCACAGCAGCCACAACACATACCCCCCAGTCCCAGCCCTAATGCAGCGAGAAGAAGACTCTGACATTGAGAGTACATTTGGAGATGACTCCTCCATCGAGTCCTCAGACTATGTGTCCATCCCCTTCTCCACTCCCACTGGCCCAACGGATCCCACAACTGCCCCCACCTCACTTGGCGCACCTCAACGCCTACCCACCCTGAGCCGCCCACCAACCCAAATCTTTGTCCAAACCGTTGAATCAGATAGCGAAGATAAATCCACCACTAGCACCATTACACCCCAACAAATACCCCCCAGCCAGTCCAATCCGCCTCCCGGCCCACCACAACACAACCATCCCCCACTATTTGTCTCCATCCCCACCAGTAGCACCAGAACCACCACACACAACCCACCCTGTACCCAAGAGCTCCCACCCAACCCACCCAGGAACTCACACAATCGCCCCTCCGACAGTGATTCTTCCCCAAGTTCATCCACATCAGACTCAGACTCCACCTACTACCCTCCATCATCCGGACATCCCTCGACAGCCACCCCCGATTCAAACTCCAACCATCCCGATCCTTCGACTGAGGCATTCGGTGACTCCCTTGGCCCCAAACCCCCTAAAACAATGCGATTCCTTTTTCAGAACGTCAACAACCTCCCCAAACAGGAATGGATGGAGAAAAGTAGGGCTCTAGTGAACAAGGCAAAACAGATGGACTTTGATGTGATGGGATGTGCTGAAGTTGGCTTCTATCCACCCAAGATGTCTACCCAAGATTCTTGGCAGAACAGAATGAAGACTATCCCAGGAGCAGGGGCCTGTTACACCTACAACAGCACAGAGGGGTATGAGAAGTTTGATCTCCCAGGAGGACTTGGAATGGCAACTTCTACGGAGGCCACAAGCAGAAAGATACTTGATGACGAGGACCCCTCGGGCCTGGGAAGGTGGACTTCAATGGTACTCACAGGAAAGCAGGAATACCGCCTCCGTATTGTTACTGCCTACAACCCATGTGTAAACAGGCGAGGCACTGATACCGTCCACCAGCAACACTCGAGACACTTCCGACGACAGGGGGATGACACAGCCCCTGAGAAGAAATTCCAAATGGACCTGAACAAACAGCTCAAAGCATGGATGAACAACGGAGAACAAATCATTCTCATGTTGGATGCAAATCAAGATGTAAGATTCGGAAAGTTGGCATTAGGGTTTCTCCAGTTGGGCCTCCAGGAAGCTATCCTCTCCAAGCACCCCACTCAAGACGTCCCCGCAACCTACAACAGAAACCGCTCCCACACCCCCATCAATGGAATCTTTACCACCCTGGATCTCACTGATATTCGATGCGGATACCTTGGATTTGGCGAAGGCCTTCCTGGGGACCATCGTCTGGCCTGGCTGGACATCCCTTTTGAGACGGCTTTGGGGCACTCCCTGCCCAACCTTCGCAAGATGAATCCCAGTGTACTCCAGCTGGATGACCCCCGAGTGGTTGCTTACTACCACAAACAGGTGATAGCAGGGTACAAGCAACATAATCTATTTGAGAAGGTTGACAACCTCATCAAGATGATTGAAGACAATGCCCCATCAACCAGGATCCAACGACTACACCACCAAATTGCCACCATCAACCGTCAGGTACGCTTGATGGTTGAAAGATCTATGAGAAACAGTAGGAAAGGAGGTGTCCCATGGAGCCCTATGAGATTCAGACCATAATGAACCGGAGGAAACTCTGGGACAGTGTACTGAAGCTGAAACTCCGACTCAAAATCAGTAGGAAGAAACTCCGCCGACAAATGACTCGATGCTCCAACACCGATGCGTGGGAGATCACTCTGGAGGAAGCCAGAAGAAGAAGAGCCAAGGCAAACGCCGACTGGTACAAGGCCAAGAAAAAGGCCCCATCTCTACGGAAGAAGTTTCTACAGTCTCTGTGCAAAGCCCGGGCCGAGAAATATGGTACCACCAGTGCCCAGGAACTCAAAAAGCTGCAACAACGAGAGCGCCAAAGGGACATGGCTAGAAGACAACGAGCACTCACCAAGAAAGGTGCCCAGCGAGAACGAACCATGAAACTTTTCTACTCGGAATACGAACCTATCTCTGACACCACCAGAATCGTGGAATGCAGTACTCAGGATGATATGGGTATTGCTGCCACCAGAGAAGGTGAAATTCGAATGACGCGATGCCTTGAATCCCCCTTCACAACACCCCCAATGGACGAAGACTTCGGCCCCCTTGCTGATACTCCTGCTGCTGATGCAATCCTGAATGGATCCTATGAACCCCCCCCTGGCACCGATAGGTACACGAGGATGTTGATCAATGCTCTCCGACGCCCAGAGGCAGTCAAGGAAATGACCAAAGAGGAACTCGAGTGGACCCCTGAATCCCTCCTAGAGGCATGGACAGTACAGCGAGTGAACACTGCTAGCGAACCCTCTACCCTTTCCTTTGCCCACCTGATGATGGGAGTGAAATGTGCAGAGATTGCAATGGTGGACACTATCATCCACAACACCCCGATGATCATTGGCTTTGTGCCAGAGACCCAAACGGTGCTTACTGATCTGGCACTCCTGAAGAAACCGGGCGTATATGAGGCTGAGAAAATGCAAATCATCTTCTTGTTGGACACATACTACAACATGTGTTGCAAGCGACTCGGGCGCTTGATGATGTACCGCGCCGAATTCCAACACCAGATGCCGGAGGAACAAGGTGGGGGACGAAAGGGCCGCATTTGCATCGAGCTTGGCCTGAACAGTGTGCTGATTCTGGACGTGTCCCGCATGAAGCGCTGGACCATGGCTATGATTCCCTTCGATGCGAGCCAGTGCTACGACAGAATAAACCATGTCCCCGCAATTCTTGCTGCCCGCTCTGTTGGAATCCCACAAACAGCTTTGAACTATCACTTTGTCTCCACGGCTTATGGGGTTTCTGAACAGTCCTACGGTGGCACCCAACGCACCGAACAGGGTCTTCAACCTATACAGGGAGTCGGACAAGGCACCGGCGATGCAGGTGCTTTTTGGGCCATCTTGTTGGCCAAATGCAGTGACTGTGTTCGAGCTCTGGGTCTTACTGTTGCCTTCATGAGTGTGCTTGCCCCAAAACATATCAGTCTCATGGCACAGATATTCATTGATGACAACAACCAATGCGTCTCTGCGCAAACCCAGCACTGCTCTGGCGAAGATGTCTTCCCACGAGCACAAGATGCAGCAGACACGTGGGAGGGTACATTAAGAGCCACTGGCGGTGCCATCAATCAAGAGAAGTCGTACTTCTACATGTTGGATTACACTTGGGTCCCTTCCCTCCTCAAATGGACCTACCGTTCCATTGCGGACTTGCCAGGCGAACTTTGGGTCCGTGACAAGGATGGTGGACGCAAGCCAATGTCCCGCAAAGAGCCTACGGAGGCAGAAAAGTGGCTTGGCTTCTGGCCCGCGCCAGATGGAAACTCGACCCAACAAGTCTCCTACTTGAAGCAACGGGTGGATGCCTTTACCAACAAAGTGCGCACTAGTGGACGATTTCTGAAGAACGATGTGTGGCTGGTTACCAAATCCACCATCCAAAAAACTTTGGACTACCCCATGAAAGCCATCCGGCTGTCCCTTTCGGATGGGATAAGGTCATCGGACCCCTCTGGCAAACGGTCTTCCAAAGTGTGGCATTTCCGGAACTTCCCCGGTTGTCCTGTTTGCACCACAGAAGTATCAAGGTTTGGGGGAAATCATCCCTGCTCAGGCAAGAATTCACGCACATCCAACTGTATGGGAAAAACTACCTACACGATACCACTGGTCAGCTCCTCGAGATGGAAATGGAACACTCCGAATGGAGCTTGGACCAACAGACACTACACGGAGCATCTCCTACACAGCCTTCGAATCATCCACCACCGACTGTTGGATGAAAACTTTGTGGAAGTCAATGGATGATTTTGGCATTACTATGGAGGACACCACTGCTAGATTCACCACACAGCGCACCAATGACCGCTTCCTGATGGATCTCTTCTCTCAGCACGGATACAGTGCCCACACTCTCAAGCAGCTGAATGTCATGCGAATGTTCCTCAACGTCATCACCGTGGCAGACATTGCCACGGCAGATGGCAAACAACTTCGCACCCAATCCTTCAATGGAACCAAAGTCGAATCCCACCTTCACCGGATGGAATGGCCCCGTCAACCCAAGTCTCTACCCCCGTCGTTAATTCTCGTCTGGCAGGGTGCCTTAAGAGAGTGTCTCATTGAACAATACGGTGGCCCCCAGAATCTGCGCATTCGGCCCCAACTTATCCCCGGCCTCTGGAAGGAAGACCCCGTCTCTTTCTGGCCATGGATGTGGAACCCCGAAACTGATACCCTGTATCACAGGGAAGGATTCTTTTGGACCCCATACGAACGCATCAACCCTGGCAGACGCCGTGCACACTACAGGCGATCCACAGTTCCTCGCACATGGAGAGTCCAACATCAATCCAATCTTGAACCTTCAACTCCCATCACCAGTCTCCCCTCGGCACCTGCCCACACATCAATTGGTTACAGAACAGCTTCGGTGGTCCGTCACGTTGTGCAAGCTTCGTCCAGCGAACCAGAACTTGTCCTACTCTTCAACCACTCCTCGTGCGACTCCGAACCAATGAATTACTCTGACAGTGACGACTCTACCTCTGGACTCTCCGACAGTGACGATTCAACAGTGACGACATCTGCCTCGGACCAGCCACCCCCCTGTGCTCCCAATCCCTCCAAGACGCCCTGGATCAGCTCCCAATGTCAGACCAATGGGCGCTAGGACACCTTCGCTTTACCGATGATGGCTCCCAGATTGCAAAATCCATCTTGACTGGCTCCGGCATTCAGGTTAGCGACGGCTCCTACAAAGATTCTTTTGGCACTGCAGCTTTCGTCCTCGAAGGAGCCGACCACAAGGGACGTATCAACGGCCAGTTCTCTGTCCCAGGCTCCCCGGGAGACCATTCCTCCCATCGAAGTGAACTGGCAGGTATCATTGGGGCACTCATCGTGATGCGCACCATCTGTATTCTCCATGAAATCACCATGGGATGCATTACGATTGGTTGTGATGGCCAAGCAGCCCTCAATGCCCTTGAAACCCTCTTCAACCCCCAGTGCAATAGCAAAGACTTTGACCTCCGTGTTGAGGGCCGAGCTGTTATCGATGAGATCAAGGAACTGGGTATCGACGTTCAGTTCCGATGGGTTAAAGGCCACCAGGACGACAGCCCTCGAGCCCTCCACATCCTCCCCCGGGACATGTTACAGGGGACCAGAATGTACCACGGCTGCCTCGATCGCTGGGCAATCCTGAACATTGAAATGGATACTGCTGCCAAATCCCAGTGGACTCAGGACCACTCGAACCCGTGCCCTAATTTACCCTTCACCAACGAGCGCGTCATATTTCGGCACAAGGGTCAGAAACTAGCCCGATTCCACCCCCGTGAGATGCACGAGGCCCTTTGGGAAGACAAAATCAAGGCACACTGGAAGCAGCGCGAAGAAAGAGTCCTTGACGTCGCCTATTCAGAGGCAGAATGGACAGAGCGCTGGGACACTATCAACTGGGAGGCAATGGGTAGGGCAATGCGGAAGGCACCACTTGGAATCCAAAGATTCATCACCAAACATGCCACAGGCCACTGTGGTGTAGGACGCCAGCTGCAACGCCGCCAATGGCAGGCTCACAGCGATTGCCCACGGTGTGGAACAGCCGACGAAGACACTCTCTCCAACCTAAGAATCAAGTTTGATTTCACTACCATGTCAATGGAGTGGAACAGCATATTTTTCCCTGCGAAAGATGGCAATACCGATGGAGAAGAGAACTTCTCCATTCCTGATCCTGCAGCTGTCAACGACAGTGCAGATAGTCTCAAGAAGATTCTTGATGCGACATACGAACAAACTGACTTAAGGCAGATGTGCCAGAGTCGAAATCAGTTAAATAAGGAAGAGCAAGAACTGCCTCATGCCTTCTCAACCAAGTGCTCCGACCCAGTCGAGGGTACTTTGGGAGAGTTGCAAATGGACGACTACGAAGTAGAACTTCGTCCCGACGCTAAATCCTATTATACTAGGGCTCACCCTACTCCACGTGTCCATACCAACACTCTCAAGACAGAGGTTGAACGTCTCTGCAAGGCAGGAGTACTCAAAGAGATAAACTGTTCCGAGTGGACGGCACCAACTTTTATCATTCCCAAGAAAGACGGATCTGTACGATTCATCTCTGAATTCCGGGAACTGAACAAAAGGATTAAGCGGAAGCCTTATTCTATCCCAAAAATACAGGACATGCTCTTGAATCTAGATGGATTCAAGTACGCTACTAGTCTAGACCTGAACATGGGACACTATCACATCGAGCTGTCACCTCACTCGAAGCAACTCTGTACCATCGTACTCCCGAGGGGAAAGCACGAGTACCAGAGGTTGCCAATGGGCCTATGTAATAGTCCCGACATCTTCCAAAGGAAGATGAAAACACACATGCATGACTTAGAAAATGTCCGTGCATACGTTGATGATCAACTCATCCTAACTGACGACGATCTAGTAGATCACGTTGAATAGTTAGATGAATCTTTCCAAAGACTTCAAAAAAGTCGGATTTAAAATCAACACTACCAAGGTCTTCCTCGAAAGAAGGAACTTAAGTATCTAGACCATTGGATTACTCGAGAAGGAGTCCAACCCTTAACTAAAGGACAATAGATGCGATCCAGCTATCGCTCCTCCTACGAATAGGAAGGAACTTCGTGGATTCATTGGACCAATGAACCACCAACCATCAATCTAAAACAGATGTAGGTTACCCAGTATCCATGACCGGCTGAGGTTGTCATGGACAGAGAACGTGAGTCCCGCGCAGAGGTCGAGAAGACTCTCCGGGATGAAAATGGACTTCGTCGCAAGTTCACGCGCGTCAAACCGTGACAAGATTCACAACATCCGTTTCGAAGCAAACTGGAAATACATCAAGGAACGTCGCCAACGACTTATCCAGAAAAACAACGATAGGGAGAACGCGACACGTGTCCCTCATCAACACAATGTCAACGATACTATGATGATTCATCAGAATCAGCACCGCAAATACGGTCAGCCAAAGTGCAAAAGCACAAAGGTCCTTACCACACAGACCGAGTCAATAACAATGGCACTGTACGGCTCCGACATGCTACCGCCAATAGCGGCACAGTCTACCAGACTTGGAACATAAGGTATTTACACCCATACAAGGCCTGGTCCCCTTGTAGGATTGCCATCGTGCGACGCACATGTCTACATCCAATCTCCGGAGAGTGCCCCGCACTTTAATTCATATGTTCTCCTTGTCCGACTGATGTCGTGCCTTCCGTGACCCTTGTCAGGGGGCGAATGCAATACACGGCTCTTAGCCTTATTCGCGACTGGATCCTAGATAGGGTTTGAGTTCGACTCATGACTGAGTCTTTCGTGAATAGTCATTGAGACAGGGTTCTCATGACCGCTAGTCATACTAGGTCGATGGTGAAACATCGCGCTAGATATTTAGCTGGCGTGGAGAGATTCCACGCTACTAGATAAATGCTAGACGAATCTTCCATGCGTTCCGTTTTTGGATCGTGGAGTGAGTAGGATTGCTACCGCAACCTACTCTATCACACTTTACAGTCTCCCGCGGGAGTTCAGATCTACGATCCTTTGATTGTGGATCTCTCTCGTTGATTAGTTTTCATAGCTTTCTAATCCTCTCATAACTTTCATTCTCTCAAACTCAAAACACTCGAAAGATCTTTACACTAGCTTTTAGCGTAGTGCACCATCATTTGGTGGGGTCCTACCCAGGCTTTTGGTGGCTTCCTCCACTTTCTTCAATTTCATTTCTCCCCTTTTAGCAGGGCTTCCAAGACAACTTTGTTACCTATGGCGTCCTTGTTTGGTTGCCCCAGCCGTCCTTTTTTGGAATCATTTGGACCCTTTTCTCGGACCTATGGATACCCGTACCGTTACAGTTGGTTACATATGAGTGACCTGTTTCTCCCCTTTTACTACGAACATTATGTCATTGTTCGCTTACCTCCACTACTCTGTTAATAGTAGTTCCATAACGAATTTAGCCCCAATCATATCCAACATTGTGTACTGCTTTTCTCCATTTTGGAAACCCCTACTTATAGATTTAGTAACCTAGGACTCTTTCATTTGGGAAGGAATGGCTGAGCTGTTTTGGATTCCGGGGCTTGGGGAATAGCCTTACAACTGCCCTTCTGTAATTAGCATCACAAAGTGCATCAACTTGTAAGCCATGTATAGAAAGGGGAACGGAATTGGTAGAGGAATAGTGAACGCTTAGTTCAACATTCTGTAACCATTGCGCCAATGACTCGTGCTGCAATTGCATCTGTATATGCCTGAGTCGATCGTCTTCAATTAGTAGGATAAGAGGTTCTTGAATATTGCACAGCTGACCTCACAAAAGGGAAGGATCATTCCTCGTGTTCTTGTACCCACCATACATAAGCGCAGGTCAGTTACCGATTGGTAACCTTACCATCGACTGACCTGGCAATTTTGTAACCGACCTCGCTGTTTTCGCTCTACCCCATTATGCGCTTCTTAGATGAAGTCTCCGGTCGTCTGCAGTTTAGCACAGAGAACAAAACTCATATCTATTTGTTGTTTTCTCTGCTGCACTGCCGACGGCTGAGGAAATCCCATTGTCGAACGAACGAACGATCCCTCTGGATAACAACAAGAGAGAAGGCTACTGGTACTACGGAGGAGGCTCTGTTAACTCCAGCCCTATCAACAGCATGAACGCACAGAGAAGATCGTCGTCGAGTCATTGAATGGCTACAAGAGGAGGCTACACGACAACACTCGTACGCACAGAGGAGAGTGGATCCTACTGCTGGATTCATCTCCAGTGTTATTTCCTAGTGTTTTGGTGGTGATTCATGTATCGGTACCCACTTTCCTGTATGCACAAGGCCTCGGGCGAACGACTTGCTTCTTTCGTAAGATAATAGATCATCGATTACCGACCAATAGACCACTCCTTTCATGAGATAGTAGACACCTTATAGATCAATAGGATTGACAATATTCGGTTGTGTATATATTCGTCATGAGGATCCAATGCAAGGTACCTGTACCGGAGTGTAGCGAGCAAAGCCGAACCTGAGTGTGTTCAGTACTGTCGCCACTGTCGCCACTGTCGCCGATGTAACTATACGGTGTGTAGCCGACTACATTTGCTATATTGACAATATTCGGTTGTGTATCGTCATAAGCATCCAATGCAAGGTACCTGTACCGGAGTGTAGCGAGCAAAGCCGAACCTGAGTGTGTTCGGTACTGTTGCCACTGTCGCCGATGTAACTATACGACAGCCGGCTACAATGGCTGGATTGACAATATTCGGTTGTGCATGTATTCGTCATAAGGATCCAATGCGAGGTAACTGAGTGAGGGAGCTGGAACCAAGGAATCAAGAGACGAACGCTGAAAAAACCCGAATAGGAAATAGGAATACCGAAAAAGGGGGTGAGGGCTCAGGCAGATAGACTGCCAAGGTAAAGGGGGTAGTAGGGCTCAGGCTCAATCTGCACTGTACCGGTACCAGTAGAGTGACAGTAGGGCGACTGTGGTCTTTCCGAAGTAAAGCTCCGTTATCTACTACTAGTATAGTACCGGTACTCCAGGAAGCCGCTTGCTAGCTCTCGTCGACGATACCGGTAATATGGAAACCTCGGCAACAGGAGCATCAAAGAAGAAGGGCAAACGCATATATTCGTTTCTGGACGCTCGAAGAATAGCACGCGGCCATGGATTTGCCTCGAAAGAAGAATTCCTCGAGTATTGCTGTCCGGGTGCGTACCAACTGCCCAAGAACCCCGACGTCGTGTGGGCCGACGATTGGAGAGGCTGGGATGACTTTTTGGGTGTGCCATATCAAGAGTTTGAAGAGGCGAGAAGCATTGCAAGAAAACAACTTTCGGGTGTGGTGAAAAGCAAGGAAGAGTATCTCACGTTGTTTGAACAAAAAAAGTTGGACGATGACAACCCTGCCTTTCGATTACCATATCGACCTGATCTTTACTACAAAACAGGATGGACAGGATGGGATGACTGGTTGGAACCTGACGAGAAAGCTTCTAGCTAGTTGTCTTCCTTGGGCCGTGTCGGAATGACTTCAATGTGTGATGGTAAGGCGGTATCATTGATTCGATTCGGGATGTTTGTCGCCGTCACTCGACCACACCTCCGACTTGTGCGATATTGGCGGCAGGACAGCAAGGATCATGGCCTTCTCCGGCACCCATGAAAATCATTGTATTGTTTGCCGACGCTCAAAGCAAACCTATAAGCAAAGCAATCCACCGTTTCCCAGGCTGCTACATGCTGCATGTACAATCAAAATAAACTCTGGGAACGCGAATTTTTCTGGCCCTTTCCCACTCCTGATCAAGTCATTTGGTTGCCACCTGCATGCACGGTACCTCCCACTCGTAGCTTCTGACCGTTCAATGCAAGGGAATTTGCGCTCCACATCATGATACCGGTACTAATGGCAAGCCCCAAGCTTGAAAAAGGGTACCTACTCCCGAACAGACAAGTGGAGTTCTCGAGCAGTTGCTTGGAGGATACCATACGACCTGCAGCAAATAGATTTTTAAATATGTAGATGTAGTTATCTGATGCTGCCTATCTAGCTAGAAGCGCAGAGAGAGAGAGAGAGAGCGGGCTCTATGCGCTGGAGCGGGTCCCATCTCATCTACTAGCTAGTTGCAATATCGTTTTGGGAAAAAGTCCCAAAACCCTTGCTTCTTCTCATGGGAGCCACCGCAGCACCTGTGACAGACCAATCCACATTCACGACCACCTGTTTCATTAAGGCACAATGAATAACAGTCAGCTCAATCAACCCAAGGAAGCAAAAGGAAAAACGAGACGGGGGCAAAAGGAACGCACCTCCCCAGCACGGCTGCCGGCCACAAGCATTGCCAATCTTATCATCCCACCAAGAATTCTCGTGACTGCAGCAGTTCTTGCACCCACCAAAGAGACAAAGTGTACCATCTGCAACAAGCAAAAGTTTAGAATAGTTTGTGATTATTGGCCAACGGTACACAGAAAATGCCAAGCCACTCACCTCCCCAGCATCCTTGCTTCCCACATTTGAATTCCATGTGGTCGCTGCTGCAACACTTGTGGCAGCTGATGCCATTGACACAATTATGACCATCTTCCCAGCATGGCTCATGTCCACATGCATGCCCTGGCAATCCAAGTGGGGGTGTAGCCAGCCAGTCACTGCTGGTTCCACTCTGGCACATCTGGCAGTTGATGCCCTTTAGACAACCGGTTCTACAACAATATTGTCTGCCATGGTCAGGAGGATGCTTTCACCAAACAATAAAATGGAAGAATAAAACGTACCCATCAGACCACTTGGGCTCCACTCCACAGGCTGTTCCAAACTTAGAATGCCACCAGGTTTCCCCATTGCAGCAGTCAAAGCAAGATGTCCCAAGAAGACAGGCAGTTCCATCTCCCAAACATCCTTTTTTGCCACATTTTGCAAACATGAAGTCATCGCTGCAGCATTTGCTCTCGCAGGATATGCCACGTAAACATGGACGGCTAACAAGAAATGGAGGAATCAGCAAACAGTCATTGCTATGAATTCAGAACAGACACAAAAGTGCATGCTTACCCATCAGCCCAACAAGGCTCTTTTCCACAGGCATGGCCAGGTAAATCCCCAAAGGAGGGCACTGACAACCAGTCAGAACTCTCATTCTCACACATGTGACATGTCAGACCTGCCAGACAAAATGTGCCATCCTAGAACAGTTTGGTCAGTAATGACTCAGTTTGCAGTTCTTACAAAATGTGCAAACCGGTCCCATCCGGGCAAATTACCTTCCACTTTGGCTCTGTGCCACATGCCCTGCCAGGCAATCCACTGGATGTGGTGAGACCAACCCAATCTGTGTCATCATTGCAGCAATCACAGCAAGCACCTTGTTTCTTTTTCAGGCCAAGAGGATCTCCAAAGCAAGCTGGGACAACAAAGATGACATGCTTGTGAGAGTGAGCTTGGATGATTTGTGATTCCCTGGTGGCCATAGACACTGTGGCACTTACATGTCCCATCTGGCTTGCACCCTGCTTCATCATTGCAAAATGCTGATATGGCGGCATATCCAATGGATGCCAGTTCTTGGAGCTCTTGATCCACATCTAGTTTGCCTTCGACAATGTCTTTTAGAGTCTGCTCAATATTCTCTTTTGAAAAAACTTGTTGTGCCTGTTCACCTGCTCTCTCAAAAGCTTCCCCAATTGTCTCAGCAGTTTCTTCAAACTTGAAGAACTCATCAACTTCCTTCCAAATCCAGATGATCCCACCTTCAATTTCCTTGGCAATGGCTGTAACAAGGGCAGAAACATTGTCAAATTCAATCTCACAACCAAGTTTTTCATAGTCAGTTGTACACCTAAAGGTGAAGTCAGCCACAGGCTCTGCAAGTGACTTTCCCAACAAAATCGGGACGGAAATAATGAATCCAATGTACTCTGCATTCATGGTGACAGCCTGCAAACAAAGAGGTCAGCATTACACTGGCAGTGCCAAACAACAATCAGAATGCAAGGTGAATGACTTACAAGGCCATATGATTTGGTTGGTGACTCAACCTCAAGATCCATCTGCTCCAAGAGAAATTCTGCAACGATGTCCCCCACACTCTTCCCACCTGTAAAGAATTCCACAATTTCCATTCTGGGGAGCAAGGAGTCCTAATTGTGATGTGAATGGATGGGTATCCAGGTTGCCAATGCCAAGTAATGATGGAGTTACTTGAAGGAACGTACAATGATACCGTCAAGTGACTTTATGATGGTCCTGATTGCATCTGCCAGGATCCTTTCATTGCCAGATTGCCCAATGAATGCTGACATCCCAGGATAGACTGAGCGAGCAGATCCATCGTCAAGTATAAGGTCCTGTTTGCCTGTTGAGATAAATGCGTTTACACGGCCAAACTCAAACTCAAATTCCGGGAAAAGTGTTCCACTGCACAGTGGGATGGATGAATGGATGGATGGTTGTAAAATCAGAGGCATGAAGTAGGCACGAGCGACAAGTCTCATTACAACTCACATGAAAGGCACATTGTGGAAGTTCAGTTTCAACTGCAGAGTTCCCTGTAGAACTGTTTGCACTTGAAAATCCTCAAACTGTTTTGCAATGTTGTCAGCCACCCGTGCATCAAACCCTTCAAGGCCTTGATCAAAGAGTTTCTCAGAGATTGGCTCACCATTGGGCATGAGTACGTTGATGCCCTGGATGACATCACCTCTTTTTGGGGGGAGGGTGGTTAGCAGAGTCTATCATCAAATTACATTGGACATTCAATGAATAATGCGCTGGGCTCTTACGTGAGAGTGAAATAATCCTTGAGAGCAGTATGAATGGATGCTGATTCGATAGAGAAGGCAAGCTTGGTGAACTGTGTTGGTCGAGCACGATGCCAGAATAGCTCTTCTCCATTAAAAAGGGGCATTGGTATTTCGAATGCATTAGAAAGAGAGAATCCAAATCCAGCATTCTTGAATCCAACTTCAAAGATTGTCGTGAGAACAGATATGATTGCAGTGGCGACAGCGCCACCACCAGTAGCAGCAAGTGCCCTTCCAATCTGATTGAGGATGCAATTGGCCACTCCCCCATCCATGAAGAAAGCCTAAGAAGAATCAAACGGCAACAGATTCTGTTTAGATGGCCCCTGGGATTTTGAACTGGGTTTCCAATAAGCAAGATGTCATTGGGCCAAGTATACTCACAACTGATGGGAGAATATCACAAAATGAAAGTGCCATGCAGAACGAAAATGTGACAGCCGAGTACATTTGGCAGACTGCAGTGGACTTTTCAGGTGTAAGAGTGATGGTTCCTGCAAAAATGGACCACTCGGCATTGTTATCCATGGAAAGAGGCATGCCCTGGCAAGTACCAACCATTTCGCCGCGATCTTCAGGCTGGACAACTTCTACTGCATCAAAGTCACCAGCGCAGATAACGCCTTCAAACCCAAGGGCCTTTTCCACGTTTTCCAATATTTCCTCGAATGGTTTGAAGACGGCGTCGAAAACACCCTTGACAACCTCATTCGTGGCCAGGTCGCCAAAGAGGCTCTCCGCCATGCCCCGGAAGATCTGCAGTGGCGCCTGAATGGACCGGTAGCATTGAGATAGTGGATCCAGAAAGCCATCCGGCACAACACCCATTTGCTTATTGGGCGCATCGCATGTTTTGAAAACTGGCGCATCGCCGAGGATACCGATGGTCACATCTCCCGCGAGTGAAAGCGAAGTGTCTCCTACCTCCTTGAAAAAGTCCAACTGCCTCTCTGTTGTTGCTGTAGCGTTTCCTGTCTTGGCTCTCAAGTGTGCCTTTCGAATGACAGAATTTGAAGCAAGGAAAAAGGTGAGAGGTTACTTGTAGGTACGGATCGGCCAATAATCTGACATGGCGAAACTGGTCAAGTAGAACGGTGCTTACCGAAGCTGAGGCTGTACCCAAACCAGCAAAGACAAGTGCAAGAACATGGAGGCCTTGATAATTCTTCATGGTATTCTGCCCTCTGCTTGCAAGTCAAAGCTCCATCTATGATGTATCCGCAGATAACTGCCCCACTCTAATAAACCCATAAACCCCTTGATCTCTGGGAAGAATCTGGCACAAAAAGTTCTTGCCGGGTGCCGAGTGCACCTCCCGAACACATCCAGAACCGCGATCTTTCGCACCACCCAAGGATTCGATTGGAACGAACCGGCAGGTTTTGTATTTGATACCGTGGTCTGTAGTAGTACTGTACAGAGTTCTACACAGACCGGCGGTTACAAATACAAACCAGCCGTTATTCGTTCCTAACAAAACGAACCGGTACTTAGGGCCGGCTGTGCCCCATCGGTCTCCGGCCTGACCATCGGGCTGTCGGGCTTGCGCCCTCTCTTAAGCCCTCGGTCAGACCTCCGACCTTGGGTCCCTGCCTTATCCCTAAGTAACCAGGTTCGTTTTTTATAAACTCGACTCAATGGACTAAACTAACTGCTGCCAATGACCAGTCCCAAACACAATTTGCATAACCACACCGAACCGCAACGAAACAGCATCCCAGCATTGCCTTGTTCATTATCTTTTTGTTTCAATCCCATTGCTCCCTTATTATCTCGTCTGTTATCACATAATAATTCATCGAACCATGTCAACACCCATGCTGGACCAGAGCAGCGACGAATGGCTCCAAGCCGCGGCCGCACTAAAGTCCTACGTGACAGCCGGAAATGCCTATCAAAATGTACAAGAGAACACATTGGTATTGGACTTGACCCATTCCAATTTGAAGCAAGAGCACATTGAAATTCGCTTTGACAAACACCAGACCGTGGACGACCTGAGACACAAAATCTACCAAAAGACGGGAACTCCTCATGATTTTCAAAAATTGCAGATTTTTTCCGGCAGCACTCAAGTGGCCGAAATTGCTCCCTCGGACCCGTCCACTACCAAATTGGGATTTTTTTCTCTCCAACACGGTATGCGAGTCCATTGTGTGGATTTGAATCCCAATTCGATTAGCCGGGGTGGAGCATTAGAGGATGTGAGTTTGGTGGCCAAGTACAAAATGTCGGATGAGGAATACGACAAACGAAAAAACACATTGCGAAGCTGGGAACAAGAACAAAAACAAGAAGATCCCACTTTTACATTGGCCAAATACGCCAAGGAGCACAAGGCATTGGTAGAAGCCAAGCAATTGCACAAAATGGGATTGCCTCTCCCAGATGGATTCCAAGTGGTAGATGGTGCCGTAGTCAAGTCAACAACTAACACTGAAGATACTGGACCCAATTCGGTCTTGGGGATCCAAATCGATATGCGATGTGAGGCTCAACCCGGTGGTCGCAGAGGAACCGTCAAGTATGTGGGCGAAGTACCCGAGCTAGGAGGATTTTGGATTGGAATTTCGTTTGATGAACCCGTGGGAAAATCCGATGGTAGTGTTGGAGGCAAACAGTACTTTGAAGCCATGGCCAAGTTTGGAGGGTTTTGCCGTGGAAAGAATGTGCAGGTAGGAGACTTTCCGGAACGAGACTTGTTTGAGGAAGACGATGACAGTAGCGAAGATGATGAATTGTAGAGCATCGATTATCATTCAGATTCATCATTCTTCTCTACAAGCTAAAAGTGAAACCGCGACAAAAATCTTGCCCTTTTCCGACTGAATGCAACAATGTAGAGGTCCAAGAGCTCTAAAACAAATTACTATGATAGCAGCAATCAATTTCCTAGCTAGAATTGTTGAGCAAAGAAAAGTATGTAATATCGAAACTAATGCTAGCTCGCATGAGTTGGGAACGACCTCCCGAGTTTGCGGCAGTCGCAGGATGCTAATATCATTCACGCAATGCAGAGGTTATCCTAAACAAGAGTTTCTCCAGTGTGCATCTGAATGCACTTGTCACCAACTTATCATTTTGTAGTTGTGTACCTGCTGGTTGGCTGTGAGGATTGCACTTTCAAAACTGCTCTTTGGTCCCTCTCCTTCACCGTTAGTGCTGGACAAGTCATCAAGAAAGTGAACTCAAACAATGTTGGGTGTTTCACTCGAGCCACCGGAAGCAACCCGTTGGTAGGATCCAAGGTTGTTGCTGTTTTGATTTCCTCCTCGGCGGGAAAGCCCCATACTGGAGGGTGCTGGTTCGGGAATGCCACCAGTAGTGTTGTCGTCGTCATTGCTGAGATCTGTTCCTTCCCCCAGCATGCTAGCCCTCTCGGAATCACTGCTATTCACTGACGTCTTGTTGCTACTAACGTCGTCTGCCACGGGTTGTCCGGTCATGTCTCCATGATCCGGCAACAGAAAGGGCGTGCAGGCGCCCAATGCCAATGTCGTTGCAGCCACCACCAGCAATCTGACTGGTCTGCCCACCAAGGCACCATTGACAAATTGTGCCAACATGGCTCCAATACGGCCCGACGCAGCGCAGACACCCATTCCAGTGCTCCGGACGGTAGTCGGGAACAGCTCACTTGTCATGACATCGATTGTGTTCCAAGCTGCAATGGTAAAGCATTGAAAGCTGCAGGCGCTACAGACAACTCCATAGGCGTTTGGAGGACTGTTGCCCGATGTGTTGGCAAAGGCAGCAAAGGACAAGAGTGACAGAGAGGCACTGAGGATACTGCCGACCAGCAAATGTGCTCGTCCTGCCCGGTCCATGAGAAATGCCGTAAAGATATTGCCCGGTAGATTGGAAAGTGCAAACAAGAGTGCATTAAAATACACGTCCTGCAAATGCACGGCAAAGAAGAGTGTATTGATCCACGTCATGAGACCATAACTTCCAAAGCTCAGACTGAACCATGCCATTTGCAAGGGCCACGTGGTTTGTCGGAGGCTGGGAGTATACAATTTCTTGGCTGACATGACAAAGTCAGCCAGTGCAAGTCGAATCCATCGCAATGTCTTGGAGCAAGAAAAGCGAGTTGATCCATGTTGTTCCGTGACGATATCGTCCTCCAATGCCGGATGATAATTGGCCGTTGAGTTGCAGGCTCCACCAAATTGCTCTTCAAGCTCCCAGCGATGTAGGGTTGGCCCCTGATACTGTAGCGAAGATCCCAAAGCATTGACCGACTCTACTGCCTCGTCGAACCGCTTTTGCAACGCTAGAAAACGAGGACTTTCGGGCACCAAAAAGTGGACCATGACAGCTCCAAGGGCGCTGGGAACGGCACAGGCCATTGCAAAGACTCTCCACGCCGCCAGGTGAAATAATGACGTGGCTGCTTGTGAGACAAGGTATCTTGTCGCTTCATTATTGTCTGCATCGTTCCCACCATCACTGGCAGTGGTCGCAAGAGTATTGTTGTTGTTGCTGTTGTAGTTTTCTTCACTATTTTTCAAAAAGAGAATGGCGACCAAGGCGACATAAATGGATCCGACCATCCAAAAGGCGGCACAAAAAGTGACACAAAAACCTCTCTTGGACGGTGGTGCCAGTTCGGCCACCAGAGTAAAGAGCGGTGGAACGGTAGCTCCAATTCCCACTCCTGCAATCATGCGTAGTCCCGTCAAGACAAATACATTGGGAGAACAGGCGGATAAAATGCCGGCAATCATGTTAATGTTCAATCCCAACATGAGCATGGGTCGGCGTCCTAGAAAATCTCCCAAGGTTCCCACAATGAGTCCACCCATGAGCATGCCCAAAAAGACGGCAGCGGCCAACATGCCACCTCTCCAATTCGAGTCCAAGAGCATCTTGTCTTCAAAGGTTGGATCCGACAAAATGTAGGACAAGCAGAGAATCTCGGACGCATCACTGCTGTTGCTGATTCCCAAAGCAAGCATAATGAGCCAGTACTGGTATTGATGGAATACAACAGAACACCAAGAAGAAGAGTCCGATTTGTCGTTGTAGGCATCTTCCAAAAACTCATCCATGGTTCGTCCCGAACGAGACGTACAAGCCGGGATGGATTTGGAAAACGAAGAACTTCGTTTCTTTCTCATTATGTCGTCTTCTGATGGTTGTTCCGTAGTCTCTGGCTGCAGTGCGTCGCTCTGTCCTTCACTGATGGTAATGGTATCGATATTAGGAGCTTGATCGCTGCTCTCCAGGTTGTGGCTACTCGACATGCTGCCGTAATAGCGGTGTTGCGAGAATGCTTCTTCTTTCGACGACACTACTTGCTGCTGTGGTTGGTCTCTTCGACTACGAACAACAGATGCAGTCTCTTCCATTCACTCACAACAAAGACAACAACGAGATGCAAAGCAAGAAGATAGATTCTCTGTGTTGTGGCACTTGATTGGAAAGAAGAAAGACACCCGGTGTTCGTGCTTTGCGTTTTTAAGTTTCTCGCTTTCTTTTGGTCTTTTGGTTTTCTCGCTCGTGGGTGAGTTCCCTTAAATCTTCTGCGACAAGGAGGAGATTTAAAGACAAGATTTAAAGATGACTTCACACTTTTCCATTTCCACTTCCACCATCCCAATCTTTTCACTTTTTGCCGTTGTCTTCAACGCTTTGCTGTTTGCTCCTGTTGTCTTCCCCCAGGACCATCATTCTCCAGAGTACTAGTACTAGTGTCTACTAGCTAGTATCCATTGACCTACCAGTTTTATTTTGTAGCACCATGACCATGTTCAAGCTCTTCTTCCTCGTCTTGTCAGTATTGCTACTACTAACGACATCGGATGGATTCCTGGTGTCTGTCGCGGACGAACAAGATATTGAAGTCGTGTCGAATCCGCATTCCCCAGATACCTGCGTGGCCGGTGCCTTTTTGGATGCCTTGCTAGAACCCTATCATTTGATTGTCAAACCCATGCTCACGCAAATGGACACCTTTCAAGAACTCTCCTATGCCAAGGTGCTGACCGTTCCAGTTCCCATTTACACCATGAAACAGCCAGCAAGACTTTCCGCAGCCCAACTCCAGTTCCAATTGGTACTCGTCAAGGATGTTTCTGCGGGGACCCTAAATTTGATCTATGAAGTTCCCGTTCCCATGGAACAAGCCAAGGACAGTTGGTTTCCAGGATATTACTGGACTCCCATCATCATGGGATGCAGTAAGGACCAGGGATACAATCATGTGGGATGGAAATTCACCAAATTGGAACAAAACAACTCCGAAAATGACATTCACCACGATATGCTGCCTCACTTTTATGCGCTCATGGTAAAGGTGGATAACAAGGAAAAAACGGAAGGATTGCGAGTGGGGGGATTCAAAGCACCCGGATGGATGGTCGGAGGAGCCATTTTCTCCTAAACAAGAAACAAACAGAACACAACAGAATCGTTTCAGCCAATGCGAAAACTCAACGACAATTGACACAAGACAAGTGGGCGGCGGAATTGCAGGTGAACTGAATCGAATCGAATCCGCCCATTTATCATTAGACTAGTGATCCTCATCAGCCCTTCTCGAGCAAATCGGTAGGGGTCCAACGTATTTTTAGAAAAAGGAATCAATCCAACGAAGAACGGCAAAACAACTTGCTTTGCTTCTATGGTTGCGGCACGTGTACGAAACCATGATGCAATACACAATTTTTAGTAAACTTCGTAATTTTAATGCAGACTTTGCAGCTTTTCTCGCTGCACCGTGTCTGTGTGCGGGGATCGAATTCATGCCCCTGCTAGATGTGGATGATGGATATCGTCGACGTGAAGGCTGCTGAAGTGGACTTTGGAAAGATCCCTCTTTTACGTAGTTGAGATCCCATCCTTGTCGACATTGACATTGGAGTTTGAGGGTCTTGCCATTGTTTTGGATTTGGTTACGATGTGTTGGTCCAACGAACCTCCAAGCTTTTTCGGGAGCAAGACAATGAGGTGTGGTTCGACGAAATGATTTTGACGCTATAATGTAATGTACATAGAAAGGAAACAGTCAGAATAAAGTAGATTACGTCTCTGATTTTGTAGAATGACGGCACAAACTCGTACCGTACTGGTACCTGTACGGCTGGTGACGCCCAACTTTTGGGTTTCGGTGGTACGTTACGGCTGTACCGGTAGCCAAAAGACTCGTCACTCTGCCACATGGATGAGTTCCCTACTAGCTAGCGAATAGGTTTTTATCGTCTGCTTCTTAATGTGGCATAAACAGCTGTCGCAGTTGCTCCTACCGGTACTGGTACTGGTACTGGTACTGGTACTGGTACTGCAGGCACTACGAAGATTGAGTCCTAGCTAGCTACAATCCCAGCGCCGAGAACGCGAGAACCTGGCCAAACAAATACCGGTACGGTACCGGTATGAGCATCATGCCCCCCAAGACTTGTCATTTGCACCACCTCCTTCAACGGAGAGTTGCCCCAAGTTTCGTCTCCAGTTGCTTGACCTTCGACAAATGCCGGTGATCGTTATTTATTCATGGTTAGCTACCGTAGTCCACGATGCGCAAANNNAATGCACCCCTTGATCCATTCCCCCACTATGACTGTACCTTCAAGCTGGCATCACTTAGTCCATTACCCTCTCCTAGCTAGCTAGCTAGCACTAGTGTAATTCCATAGTAATCTATATATATAACAGAACCATTCTACTAGTAAAGCAACATACGGTACCAACAGCAGCCGACCATGAACTATGAAACTCGCGTATTCTTCAAGCTGCCGGCGAATCACTCCCTGGCTCCTTCTCTCACCCATAGAGAGATGGCACAACTCGTTGGTCAAGGGATCCAAGGAGGAATTGATCCATTGTCATCAGAGTTTCCAGAAAAACGCACTGACAACTACCTAGTCATTGGAGGATTATTCGGCGGTTTGGTTGGAGTAAAGCTCCGAAATCAAAGAGAAAGATCGTCCTCCAGCAAACTAGAGGTCAAAACATGTATTTCAAGGCCGATAACCAAGGAAGAACTCAAAGAAGAGAAATCCGGGACCGAAGCCCTCCCTGTAAGTGCGCCTTCTTTGGCTGCCTGGGACAAGGTCTCGACCAAGATCAAGGGCTCTGTCGACGATAATCTCGACAAGGTCTCTAAGCTCATACTGTTGGGTGGAAGGGGGCGCTCCGATGTAGGGACCCATGCCGCCAAAAAATTGGTTTTCAACCCTCAAAACAACAAGTTGGTTCAGATTGTCTTGGCAAAAAAGAGAATTCAAGGCTTTGGAGACTCTTTTGCGTTTGAGGAAACCGACGTCCAAGTTTCCCTGATAAATGGGCCGTCCAATCTACAAAGATCAGGTATTGAGACCTGGCGGAGCTGGGCTTTTGAGGGTGGATCACACGATTCACTAGAGCCCATAGCAGAAAACTGGGAGGCTATTTTCAAGAAGGCAGTCTCTAGCATGCATTCGACAAATGCCCCTTCCACGGATAATGATGTTCCAATGATGCTGGATAGCTTTCGCGTTGCTTCATACCCGGAATTTGTGCAGTCTATACACCTGGATCGACTACAACAATCAAAGAATCTTCAATCGCGGGAGGGACTTCACCGCGCAGAGCCGCATATCAGAGGTCGGACAGTGGCCCATGGACTCTCTGCGGACGGCGTTCTTTTGGTCAGTGAAGGTCAACGTGGCCTCGGTGAGGCAAGCATGGTTGAATCGACCTGTAGACTGTGAACGGCCTTGACTGCAGTTTTTAATAATAGTTTTAAAGGGAAATTCTAGGCACGCCGGTACTAGTACAATACCAATGGACAGCTAATTTCCCTCTGAGCCGGTGGGGATTGGAAAGCTAAACATAAAAGGCAAAACAGAAGAGTCGAACGGGCTAGTATCTAGACACAGTTTGTTCAACGCTAGCTAGCTCCTGGCATTTTGGTTATTGTCACGTTGCTGCCAGTTGAGCATATCCATCAAATCATCGTAGCCGCCGGCGTTCATGACCTTGGTGAATCCGCTCTGCTCGAGAATCTCCTGAGCCTTGACGGCTCTTCGACCGCTGCGGCAATAAATGACTACGGGGGTCTCCTTGTCTTGCACAAACTGGGTTGGGTCGGCGGCAAGCTTGGGACACGCGCTTGGAGTACAACCGGTGCTCTTCCATTGTCCATTTCCCTGCACTTTTCCTGTCTCGGCAATCTCCTCTTCTCGTCGAACATCGAGGACAACCGTGTCTGAACGGGAGAGGGCAGCCAAGATGTCCAGTTGAGGGGCGAATCCGTAGTTCTTGGCTCTTTCAAAGTAGTCTTCCTTCATGGTGCTGGTTTTGTGTCGAATCGATTAAAAGTTGATAGAGAAAACCTGCTTGCTTGCTTTGTGCTGTTGATATTGCTAGATCTGTGCTCTCGTTTTATGCGAGGATCGAATACGGGTAGCATGATCGGCATTTCTTGCTTTTGGTTGCCACATGCCACATACGTCAAATTGGCCTTCGGGAATATCGCAACAGGAAGTCCGTCCGATGGTCGATGATGCTCTTCGTATGCCATTGCTACGTACCTTACGATACGCTGTATCTTCCTGACTGGGGAGGACTCGACTCATTCCACCTCCGATTCGATTCTCCGACTTTCCTGGCCACTGAAATCGGCCTTTTGCAACAAATCCCGCGGCCGGACAAAGTGCGAAGGCCTTGAAAAGAGGAAGTCACCTTGCGTGTGGCGTGGAAAGCTTTAAGCACTGTTTTGCAGGCTTATTTCTCGATCTTTCGCCAACAGTCTTCTCAACACCGCCGCGTGACAGCTGCTGTGACAGCATATTTATGAAAGATCTCGAGCACTGCAGCACCACAACCTTTGGCCCCTCTGACATGGATCCATTTCCCCGATAGTAACTGCATTGTAAACCTTGATACCAATTATTTATTCGCTGCCAGGAAAGATGAACAAAGACAGTACGGAATGTAAGCAGCATGCAGAGGCAAGTCCTTTGAGAAAGGGTGGATCATTCGAGGAAGAGAAGGAAGAAATGGCCTCTGATGAAGTGGGCGCTTCTTCGCTACCAGTACCACCAACACGAGTGGGAGCTTTTCCGGGGTCAAGGACTGCTTACAAGGAACGAAAGAAAGCTTCCAAATCTTCTGCTACTAGTAGTGTGGCTAGTATTGATAGTACCAAGAGTGCCATGAAAACCAAAACAGGACGTGGTCTCCGAAAGAAGCAAAGCAAAGACCAAAAAGGAGTACGCAGCGACAGCGATAACGCTGTTCCCGGCACAGCAGTTGCAGTGGAAGGAATTCGTAGCGTCGGAGATGTCTCTGCTCCTGGCACAGCAGCGGCAGGAGCACGCAGCGACAGCGACATGTTTGTTCCTGGTACAGCAGTGGATGTCGCAAAAACCGCTGATAACTCGAGTGTCACCCTTAATGGGGAAGACCCTGCCACAGGCCAAGATGCGTTAAAGATGGAGGCCAGCGAAAGCGGTGGCAGTCAAAAAAGGCAGGAAGCGGATGACAACACATTGGACGACGAGAAGGATTATCCTCATCTGTTGGAAGCTGTGGCGGTGGAGGAACTAGAGCTAGCAGTTGCCATCCAAGTCGATTCTGAGGATCCTCAACGACGAACCCTGTGGATTGCAGTAGGAATATGCTTTGTCCTCATTACTATTGGAATCGCAGTGGGCATATGGGCAGGAGTGTCAGCCAACAAACCGACTGAAGATCCAAGTCTCATGCCCAGTCCAGCACCCAGTAGCTCATCGTCTCCATCCCAGGCGCCAAGCCAACACCCTAGTTACAGTGCGGCACCGTCCACATCCCCTTCATCCCATCCCTCTGGTTCACCAAGTCAAAGTCCGACGGAGGTCAGCTTCTTTCTTCCGGAATACACACAAAGAACCATTTCGCTCGATACAAACGGAACCACGCCCCAAGCAAAGGCCATGGATTGGATTTTGCTACATCCACAATTTTCAACCCTTCCCCAATGGCAAAGGCGACAGCTGTTTGCGTTAGCGACAATGTACTATAGTACATCTGGTGACGTGTGGGGAAACCAACAGACTTTTTGGTTGCGAAATGATGTTTCCGAGTGCTTTTGGAATGGGGAGAACCAGTGTGATGGCTCTGGCAGAGTGAGTGCCCTTAAGTTGAACGAACTCTCTGGTAGCCTTCCCCCAGAGATTTCCCTGCTGGCGTCATTATCAACTTTGACTGTGTCACCCGGCGGACTTTCCGGTCCTCTACCCACAGAAATCGGACTTTTTGCCTCACTTGCAACCCTAGATTTGAGTTTAAACCGTATTTCGGGATCCATTCCTTCGGAGGTGGGTTCAATGCTCAACCTTACCGGTCTGATGTTGGGAGAAAACAATTTCCAAGACACCTTACCGTCAACGCTGCAGGGTATGACTTCCCTTGAGGAACTCAACTTGGAAGGAAACAATCTATCTGGGAGCATTCTATCAGAGTTGGGTCTGATGACCTCCTTGCGCCTTTTGAGCCTTGGAAGCAACAATCTAACTGATGTGGTGCCATCGGAGCTCGGACTATTGAGTCGCCTAAAGGAACTTTCGTTGGAGCGAAATATTCTATCTGGAAGATTACCGTCCCAGCTTGGCCGTTTGGAATTGCTGACCCGATTGGACATTCACAGCAACCCACGTTTGGAAGGGACTATACCCTTACCTTGGGTTGGTATGATATCCATGGAAAATTTGAATCTACTCAACAATGCACTCTCTGGTACGGTACCAAAGGGCATGTGTGCCATCCGGCCCATTTCCATCATTCGTGTGGATTGTAATGTCAATTGCACCTGTGCTGAATGCTCTTGTCTCCATGAGGTGGTGGTCGAAGGAACCTTTGAGTTTGGGTTGTTTCCTGAAGCAACCATTCGCCCCCCAACAGGTTCTGAAATTGACGGCTTGATGAACGAAACGCGCCGATTTTATACCAATCTATTTCGAGGTGCCATTGACGAATTTCCCTCGTTTGCCTCAATTGAAGCCGAGTTCGTTGGTTTCCGCTTTGAAGAGACTGCTGATTTGCCATATCAAATAGATGCCGACGTGACGGCAAAGTTCAGATCCGAATACGGGATTCGACTGCCTTCGACTTTGGATGCATTTGATTTAATGCAGGCAGCAATCTATTTAGGTACGCTTGGATGACCCATGGTCAGAGTTCTATGTTTTGGTCGCTGATGATTGTGGTTTAGAGTAACACTTCTTTCTCTCTTTCCTGCTTCGAAAGACTACATTATAAACTACGTTTGGAAGGCAACACCACCAAAAGGAATTTTTGTGCTCACGCAAGAATGTAGCTTCGCTGCAAGGGTTGCTTAGAAGCTTCTGCCAGCCTGAACATGTCGCAGTGATGAGGATATCGAAACTAATGTGCCAGTAGACACCATGACTTTTGAATGAATCTTTCCTAACCATGCCGGTACCTAAACCACATATAGTGTAATCCAGCATACCGGTAGAGCCAGGGCAGCCATTGCATCACTTCACTTCGATAGATCTGGAAGCTTGAAATGACCGTTCGATAGCCATTTTTATGAACCTATATCTGAGGCATTCCAAATTGCCATTTGTATAGCGCACGTGCTTCAATCCCAGGGACTGCCTTTTCATGCGTCCACTTCAAGATTTCCACATATCCATCATTTATGGCAGCTGTGTGGCATGGGATGCATGTATTCTTGGATGAAAAAAGAACAATGTATAGTGTCTCGCCTGAAGATCGGTGTGCGTCCTATGGGGACGATGGCAAAGAATGCACTTGCCCCAGCCTTTTGGAGTCAAGTGACAGGAGAAAACTACGGCTCGTTCGTGACGCTGTGGAGAAGCCAACACAAAAAGAACGCTCATGATGCCGTCACAGACGCAAAGTCCAAAAAGAGGACTCCGAATCTGGTCTTATATGGCGATTCCATTACCAAATGGTTTACAGGCAGCGCTCTGGGAGTGGGCGAGTTCGTCTTTGTCAAGGAACGAACAGCCTATGAGAGTCTCCTTCGTGATCCAAACGCCGATCTGTTCGGCCTCGGTCTGGGTATTGACAGCGATATCTGTACAAATCTGCTCTATCGAATCCAAGATGGCGAGGTCCCACCAGAGTTAAATCGGTCCGTCATTTGGATCTTGATCGGGTCAAATGAACGTTGTGCTGGCGCCTCGATGTAGTACTTGTAAGCTGTTTTAAGTCGATACGGCTGTGATGTGGGTGTGCTGCCTTGATTGCGTATGACGTCCTCTAAACAACCATTCCCATCCTTTTCCAGTACAGTCGTACTAGGATATTGGCAATCCTGCCTGTAGCCACGATACCACAACAGCTTGTATTGTCAACCTTGTGGAGATAATTCGATTGCTCAAGCCATTATGCTCAACTCCATCTTGCCTCGTGGTGAAGAACTACTGGCCGACTCGGATATTTGGATTGAGATCATGCAAGAGAATGAACGTTTGGAATGCTTCGCGACGAGCCGGCAAGGTGTCGAGTTCTTCACTGCGACGGACCTTTTTCTCACCAATGATACAGTAGAGTTGACCAAGAGCTCGTGAATGACTTTCTTTATCAACCTGCTGCAAACTTTCAAATCATTGATGAAGCACTGGGCTGTGGAGATACTACAAAGATAGCATCACAGTAGAGTTCATGAACTGCATTGACGCCATGTGGCTTTCATGTCATCAATAGTAGGTGATGAGGGAAGTGCCATCCATGTCTCGACACGCAGTTGACACATCAAGCCTCGACGTTCGTCAGTTATGTCATGCAGGTAATGTCATCGTCAAGGGTCGCATCTCGATGACTGAACCTGCTTTGATGGGGTCGGCTTCTGGTTGTCATGTGACTACTTCTTGATCCATCGCTCCCACGCAAAAGGCACTCCCTTGACCATGCGGTGCGATTGACTGAGACGTTGTCGAATCTCGCACAGCTGCCATGCGCGTCCACCGAGCCCTTCCTTTTCGCCATAATTGTGAAAGCCAATTTGAATGATAGGAATGCGTTGTATAAAGCCCACGTCCATGCCACTGGGCAGCAACTCCCATTCACAGCCTTCGCAATTCATGTGCATCAAAGTGGGATATTGTCCACCAGCTTCGGCCACTGTGTGTTCAAAGGACTTGATGTGAGCATGCAAACCGGCTCCTCCTCCTTGATTGTTGTGGTTATAGTTCACGTCACCGTCGTCACCACGATCAGTCGCATAGTCACCTATATACGTGCTTTGACTATGCAAAGAGTTAGGATCCACTTGAAAGACATCATCCTTGACTCCAATACCAAAATTGTGCGTATGCATGCGAGGCTCGTCCTTCCAGTTGCGTTGTAAATTGTCGAAGAACGTGGGTATCGGCTCAAAGGCATGATAGGTGCAGTCGGGATACTGTTCGAGTAGCGTTCGTGAATCTTCTGCTCGTTCATGAGCCCCCACTTCCCAAACGACACAACTTTTGGCGGAACCAGCATCTGCCTTTTGCAGTTGCGGCATGGGCTGAAAGCGATCCTTGGCATTCCACTTTTTGGGTCCATTGTTGGCATCAAAGTGGTGCGCAAAGACAATGTTGAGACGTTTGGGATTGCGTCGCGCGGCGAGTCGTCCCTTGCCAATGGGTAGATTATCCAACACGTCCTTGACACACATCAAAAAGTCAAAATCGTCACTGCTGCCATCGTGTTTATCGTGTCCATGCAAAAATGAAGATGTTTGTTTCGTCGCCGTATTGGTGGCCGATTGGGCCAAGAGATATGAGGATTCTTCCATGCTGTTTAACAAGCTGGTATATGAGCCTATATTGGACTGTCCATAGTGGGTAAAGAGTAGGATAGAGACCAAGGCAATGAGACCCAGATTCGGCGACCGATTCCAATGGCGTGTTGATGATGACGGCGCCTTGCTCTTCTTGAGCACAAGACGAGCCATTGCGAAACCCTAGTAGTTGACCTCAAGAAAGAAGGAACACTCGCTGGAGGTAAAGTTCTCTAAGAGTGGAGAGGTTACAGAGAGAGGGGCGGTGAAGACCGCTAGTTGTCCATTGTTCTAAGGACATCACCAAGAGTGAATCGAAGCCAACTGCAACGTCCTATCTCCTGAATATACTTTCCCGCCATCGCTAAAAAGTGAGGAAGATGTTTTATCGCGAGCGGGTTGCAATTTAGGGCAGGAAGGTTCGGCCTGAAGCCAGACGCTGGATCTATTCACGCACCGCTGGCCATCAGGAGTGCTTTACTGGCAATGCTTCAGCTGGCTCGAGTTTCCCGCCCATAGAAGGCTGGCATTGGTGGTAGACAAGCTCGAGCATAAAATAGAATTGAATCAGTTCACAATACCAGCCAGCTATTCCAATACCATTCCCAGTGAAATTATTACAAGCCAAGACCAGAAATAATGGCATCCAAGAAGAACAAGAAGGTCCGCCAGAAGCACCAACACCAACACCATCTCCCAAAGCGTCGGCACCGTCAAAATTCCCAGCATGAAAAGCACCAAGGAATGAAGTACCGCCTGTCACGCTCTGTGATCATGACAACCAGGCTGGGAATCGTACCAATGGTGTTTTGAACAAAGCAGTGGGAAAAGAGACAGCACCAAGGAATGAAGTACCGCCTGTCATGCTCCGTGATCATGACAACCAGGCCGGGAATCGTACCAATGGTGTTTCAAACAAAGTCGTGGGAAAAGAGACTGTAGTGTATGTGAATCAGTTCGAAACATTGGGAATTTTTGAGGTGAAAGCCAAATGCACTCCAACTGACCTGGAATGTCTCTTACACGACACCTGTCCTCACATCCAGCAATAGCACCATTCACCAGCGGCGTTTGAGCGGCCAACAATCAATCAGCAACAGCAACAACAACCAACTGGATATCGGCCATGACAGCGCAATGACCAAAAACAGTGCTGTTCATCTGAGCGACCACCGAAATACTAGCAATAGTAACAACAACAAACCCTCACGGTGTTTGAGCGATACTGTACTAGCAAATAATCAACTGCCGATCAATTCAACCAACTTGGCAACCAATACCATAATGAATTTGTGACAAGCAGCTAGGCAACGAACAAATGCCACCGCATTGCTACCACTAGCGCTGTGAATGCTAGTTGGCACTACCACTACTATTGCCACTGCTACCACAACTACCGCTACTACTACGGCCCAGCTTGGAGCTTTTGGCCCAGTTTGGCAGCTCCCAGCGTGAAGCTTCTGGCCCAGCTTGTTGGCAGCTCCCAGCTTGGAGCTTTTGGCCCAGTTTGACAGCTTCCAACTTGAAGCTTTGGCCCAGTTTGGAGCTTTTGGCCCAGCTTGGCAGCACCCAGCTTCGAGCTTTTGGCCCCGCTTCGAGCTTTTGGCTGGGATTTACAACAAATCTGGGATTTCACTTACTGGTACCTACCACTCTTGTCGTCCAAGCGAGTATTTCTCTCATATTTCTCATAGGAATTCAATGAGAGAGATTCAGTGTTGCAAACGAGCCTTTGGTGTGTGTGGAAAACAATTGGAATCGAATCTTTAGCAATCACTACCTCTGTGGCTCAGCCAGTGGGCAACCCCTACCATTGTGATTTTGGATTTTTTGGAGCTTTTGTCCCAGTTTGGCAGCTCCCAGCTTAAAGCTTTTGTCACAGCTTGGGAGCTTTTGTCACAGTTTGGCAGCTCCCACAGCTCCAGCTTTGACCTTTAGTCTGGGACTTCACGACTAGCTATCATTACTGTCGGTATGTTACATTGTCAGCTAGCTAGAGAGCTACCGATAGCTAGCACTATCGTACTATCAGTTGCTAGGTGTACGTTACAAAACATAGATATACCTTCAATAATACCCTTGATAACACATGTAGGCAGGCTTACCTCTCTCCATACCAGCCGTTCGATCTATCAATTCTGATTCAACACCACGAGTACTCTTGTTGGTCAAGCTTAGTGCATTAGATTTATCTCCTGTTTACCATTGGTATTCAATGAGGGAGAGAAGGCATAGCAATAAAACACTTGATAATAGCAGTAGCGATGGATCGACGGAGGCTGTTGATCCATGCCATTCTGCGATTGTGTTGCTATTGTGTTATTGGTACCGGTACTGGTCACAATAATTGTTGGTTGACCACAAGAGCTGAAAGCTGCGCGAGCCAAGGAAAGCAGCAAGCATGAAGGTTTGCATAAAATGTCTTAGGCGTTTCTCCTGATGAGCATGTCGTTAAATCACCTAGTGCTGTTCATGGAGAGTATTAAGACTTTTTACTCCTCAAACCATCCCCAAAAGTGATGGTTTAAAGTGTGACAAGGATTTCTTTTCACTCAATCCCTACTAATTACTAGTGCATGCTTTAACACACTGAAGTCGCTTCAACTTGACCTCATAATTGCAGAATCAGCTTTTGTACTCTTTGCCCCTATTCAAAAGAGCCAAAGTAAATTGCACGAGCCACCCCCAGACCCCCTTCTATGTTTAAATCGTGAGGAGTCCTCACGAACGTTCTACCGTAAGCCGTACAGTAAGGGTACGGTACATCGTACTGGTACTGTACGGTAGACTATCGTACCTACTAGCTACCAGTAACTCTAGCTAGCTACACTGTACTAGACTAGTAGCCAGAGTCTGCCCCTTTTAGAAACAAAGCACGGTTGTTTCCGTCCTTCGTGTTTTGCAGGCTTATTACTATTTAAGTCAGCGGGAGCTGCGATACCTCGGCAGAAAGACAGATAGAAGGATGACATGTTTGAGATTGCACCCTTCTTTCAAGCTAGCTCTGGCGACAACACCCGACTTCGTCGTGTGTTGCCGCCCGGTATCATTCCCTCATTATAACCTTCTTTTTTATTTAAGCTAGCCCTGGCGACAACACCCGACTTCGTCGTGTGTTGCCGCCCGTTAACCATAATTTTACAGCTGTCAATCTCGTATGTACCCGTAACTTTTGTAGCTTCTGCTGGCATATTGTGTAGAGTGCACTAACCTTGAATAACCATGATTTATTCATACCCCTAAATTTTTTAGAGTTGGCTTGTGCCTATCTCTATCCCTATATTTTGGCTTCACCAGAACAGGAAACAGGAAGCAGGAAACAGGAAGCAGGAAATACCAAAAAAGGGGGTGATGACTCAGTGCACTACGCTAAAAGCTAGTGTAAAGATCTTTCGAGTGTTTTGAGTTTGAGAGAATGAAAGTTATGAGAGAGATTAGAAAGCTATGAAAACTAATCAACGAGAGAGATCATCATCAAGGGATCGTAGATCTGGCTTCCCGCGGGAGACTATAAAGTGTGATAGAGTAGGTTGCGGCAGTAATCCTACGTCTCTCCACGATCCTAAAACGGAACGCGTGGAAGGTTTGTCTAGCCTGGATCTAGTAGCGTGGAAGTACTCCACGCTGGCTAAATATCTAGAGCGATGTTTCATCATCAACCTAGTATGACCAGCGCGGTCATTGAGAACCCTGTCTCAAATGACTATTCACGAGAGACTCAGTCATGAGTCGAACTCAAACCCTATCTAGGATCGAGTCGCGAATAAGGCTAAGAGCCGTGTATTGCAGAATAGGTATCAACTGCTGCGGTATCAAAGGGGCTACAAGCTAATCAGGATCGGTCTCAATCTTTCGTACTATTTTCTTAACTATGGTAGAAAGGACGATCCATTCTTGCTGCTTTGCTGGAGATAAGCCAACTGTGCATGCTGGAGCTGTAGGCCAGCATAGCTGTTGGAGCTATCTCTGACGGGATCCAGAGCTCTCGCTCCTAAAAGTTATCGCTCCCCATGGGAATGCCACGATATACGATTAGTTACTAACTAACCACAATACATACTCTCCCCATGAACGGAACATTCATAGGCCACTCAGCATCGACTGCTAGTGGAACACAATGTGATATTGGAGATCTCACGAGTGGAGGGACTTGCATGGTTGGTCGGTTGCTGGACCAAAGGTAGGCACAAAGGGATTGCGTGCTCATCAGCATGGCCAGACTCGGTAGGTGTCGGCGGTGCTGGTTGCTATCATAGCTGTTGTTTGTTTTCTTCATATGTAGACAAATATTCGTGGCTTTGCCACAGGCCGAATTCAGCGGTGGCAAGCTCTCAGTGGAGCGGCCTTCTTGCCCCGCAATCATGTCCCTTGACGGATGGGATGGATGGGCTGTACCAGACAAGGACGTAGTTTAGTTGCCCGTCCGAAAATCCAGGGGCGTCACCGGGATTGGTCCATTGTCATGCACTAATGCCATGGCAGCCAGCTTTGGAGTAGAAAGCATGGTGGCGGTCAGCTTCTGGGAAGGCGACACCATGGCAGTCAGCTCCTGGGTAGGAGACACCAAGGCTGCCTTGGTCAAAGGTGCTTGGTGTGGTTGCTCCCCATGGATTCCACCAAGAGCAGAGGGTATCTGCTTGGTGGGCCTCCTGGCAGATGGACTGGTGATGGTTGGACCAAGGCTGGTCCTATCCAAAGACAATGGCACCTCATTGGGTACGTGTCTTGTGGCATTGGCTGTGCCATAGGTTGGTGGTTCTGTGGGAACCAGGCTGGGAACCTTGGGTGTCACTGTGGGTGATGGACCACTAGGTCTCCTGCCAATGTTGGTTATGGTGGGACCCTTGTGTGCTCTGTGCCTTGGAGCAGGTTGCTTGGGGGTCATCACACTGTGGGTCTGCTCATATGCTCTTGGCTGGAGAGCTGGCTGAGTGGGAGCCACACTTGGTCTATTTGGTTGTGCAACTGGAATGTTGTTGGCGCCAGCAATGGAAGCTGGTTGCCTGTTGGCTGGAGGTTTTACCATCATGATCTCCCCAGAGGTTGGATGACTACTAGGGCTGGCAAGCTCGATAATCTCCCCATCATTCAACGATGGATGGGCACCAGCGAGGGCATTCAAGGGTGTGGCACTGGGCAGCTGGTGGCTCGTAGCTGGGACACGCAGGGGTCGT